TGCCAAATTATCAAAAAACGGGCCGCAAAATTTCAAAATTTTAGGGGTTTTAGGCTCCAATATTTTTACGCGCACGCGCGGATAGTTTTTTGCAGGACTTGAAATCTGCCCCCCCCCCTTGCTAGCTCCTGGATCCGCCAGTGATTAGTGTTTATTTTATAATTAAGGCCACATTCAAATGCTTGAACCTGAACTCATTCTAGTCTGGTTGTTCAAGAGTCAAGTTCCTTTAGACAGAGGTAGAGGTGTGCACGGTATATGTATACCTGAGGGCCTTTATCCCATGCGGCAAGTCAAAACATCTCTAAGAGCAGACAAAAACAGTAGAATTTAAAATGTAATTCTTTCTAGAATTAGCTCTGTGCTTTTACTTTTATGGCTTGCTCATGCTCCTCAAAAACTCATTATTCATAATAGCTATTTGATAGTCACTTAGTAATTAACGTCAAAGTGCACAAGTGGAGTCGATGATAGCTCTGTTTCAATAAAACTTGTATTATTATAAATGGAGAGTGCTGAGAACTTATTGATATCAAAAGCTAAGTCAAGAGAATTGACAAAACGGCGTTGTTGTAATTGAATTATGAATATTTGTAAAACCATTACGTTCTTGACTGAAATTCCGGAAAAGAACCAATTTCCAGCATCCATGCAATTACTTTCGCATTATTGACGACGGCTTATAATTGATGCGTGCTTATTGTAGCAAGTTCGAAAATCACTATGCAAATAGATAGAATTCACAGAATCAAGTCGTGTCATGCTTCAACCATTATCATCTACTCGAGGTTGAAAAGAATAGATGATGGGCTTGTTTTATCAGTATTATTTCGTTTCATTGAGTCATGTTGCCAGTTTAACGGGTTGATTGATTGTCGAATTATCTTTACTGTCCCCTTGTTAAGTTTCATAGATTTTTTGCAATTGTACAACGATCAATGGCAAGAATTTCTAAGTGGTTAATTGATAGTTTGAGTGTATTCATTTCAGTTATATGTTCAGATATAATACTTTCTATTTCTGGAGCCATTGTAATTAAATCACCCAATGTATGTGCAATTTATATTCATAATGCTGTTGTAATGACAATTAAAATGCCGAGCGAAACATTGTGAAACTCACAAAAACATATAGAAGCCCGGAAGAGGGGACCATACTATTACACAACCCATTATTTTTATGTTAATAGACAATTTTACCAATGTCGGCTTCTGTACTTTCTAAATACATTCGATATGAGACGACGCTCTTCTCTTCTTTTGATTCTTTTGACGACCTTATTATTTATGAATGTTCTACAGATAATCTAGTGTATCCTTCTGGGAGCAAAGTGTTTGGTTGCAGTCATCATAACAATGACTAATAGATGGATCAGATAGGGAAACCCAGGTAAACATGGTAAATAGGGAAGAAAGTAACGCAAAATGGTGGGCGTGTAGAATTATGTTGATCTAGGGATCATTCCTCCCCCTCCGTAGTATTTACGATTGAGTGGACGTTAGGAAATTAGTTGTATGTAGAGCTAAAAAAGCTCGAATATTCTTTATGAGCTGCTTTAAATAAAATTTCAAATTAGGAATTCATTCACGAAGAACGGATCACCGGTGCACCACGTCATGTGCAAACAGTTCCGAAAATACTTCTTCTTTTGAAGATATCTTACGTTAAGTTGTTTGCAGATGTCCTCCAGATTATTTAGGGTGATCCTATCCCTTGCCAATTATAAAATGCAAAAAGAACACGGTTGTGTGTAGAGGGTATCGTAACCTCCATTAGTTTACGATTTTTCTATCTCAATATTAAGTTTCAGAAGACGTCCCACAAACACACTGGAGATGGCAGTCATCTGATAGTCAATGACATCTGTTGTCTGTATGTCAGCATTTTTTACAAAATAAAAAACGCAAAATTGGTTTCAAATGTATGAGAAATAACGAAGTACTAGTAAAATTAGCAGAGCGCAGTGAAAATTAACAATATTGACTGATCATTGTTTTGTTTTCAGTGCAAGTATTGCTCTTTGGCCCTCAGTTTGTTTTCCATGTCTCAGTAAGGGGAGCTGCTGTAAACAGTGTGTCGCACATAAGATCAAGATGAAATCGTTCAATTAGAACCTACAAATATAAATTACAGCCAAAGGTCCCAACAACCTTTACCGATTCAAAAATTTGAATCAATATATTTTAATGTTGATTATATCCATGTCTGAGAGTCACACAACACATAATTGCACATTACAGATTCATTTTTATCATCTGATATTATCAGCTGTGGTGTTCTGATGTGTTGTGAAGTGTCGTGTGTTGCGTTATACACACGTTCAAATGATCAAATAAAGTGACAATAGAGAGGTTAAGGTACTTGCATTTTGAGATAACTTGAACGTAAACGTGTAATATTATGACCCCCGGGAATTGTAGTTCACCTCACAATTGGTTAAAATGGGAACTAGTAAAAACTGTTTTCCTCACACTCTCATATATCATATTCATTTCGACAAATAAAGGCAAGTGGAGTGAAAATAGTCCAGATAAGACCATATATTTTACACGTTTCACGTACACGTTATTCAAAACAATGGTAATATATGTTACGAAGCTTTAGCTTAACAACGCCACGTTTCCATTGTCCTCGTCGAAGGAAAACATCATTGCGAGCCAGCAAATCCTCCATCGACGTCACGTCACCTATTCTAGATCTGTTACATCTCAAATTTAAACAACAAACAAGTCAACGCCACGTTTTAACAGAAGTAGCTCAATGAACGCCTTTTAATCCTAATCTTATGATAACACTATCGAAACATGGTTTTACATCCGTCAAAGAGAGATTTGATTTCATTGAGACCAGCCCGAATTCTCACCCTCGGCCTCCTCTCAGTATGAAATTAATCGGTTTATTGGGAAATCCCGGGAATAAAAAAAACAATGCCTTAAAACCGGACTTTTAATACGCCCCTTCCCCAAAGTTCATACAACTGCATTTTGAGAAAATTTGAGACTGAAACTGATCCCTTCATAAGAAAACGAAATGGGCATTTTTAAAGATATGGGCGGATATTTCAGGTTCTTTGGTTATCCAAGATACTTCAACATATTGTAGACTGTACTTTTTAAAGGAAAAAGGCCTTGTCAGTTTCGAGATCATTTTGTAGTTCCATAACTACGACAGAATAACCTTGTTACTATTTATCATTACTGTACATTAATTGTTACTCTGGCGTGAAAGATATTTCCTGCCTGGTCTATGTTTATTTACACTGACTTTGTAAAATATAAAACATAAGCTCTGGGTCACAACGTTTCTGTAATATATTAGTCTACGTCGTTATTTTGCAAAAAGTTTAGCTTCATATCTCTGAAAGAGAGCTTTCGTTTATATTCCTCCAATAAGAAATGAAAATTATTTGACCTACTATTTCCGATGGAGTCCTTGTCAGGATGAGTCATGGCAGGTCTGAGTGGTAGAATGGATGCATTGCCCTTACCTATTCACAATAACTGACGTTCCTTCCATTTAAACCAAAATAAATCTCATAATTGTTACTAAGAGAAAAATTGCAATATCTTTTTAAACTATCAGAGGGTATAATTCACATTCGGTTTCAGGGTCATGTTATCCCCTAGTTTATAAAATTCAAAAAATCAAGCATTCGTAGTAGCGCACAAACATGTCTTTGTGATTTGAAATCAATTTCGGTAGTCTTGCTTAAAAGACCCTGTACCCCCCCCCCCCTTTATCCTTCTCTCTCTCTCTCTGTATATTGCCAGGTAAAGAGAGTGAAGGTGACGGGGGATACAGTCTTTGAGCAAGACTACAATTTCGGTCATTGATGGCTTTCTCTATCTGACTGATGTATACTTTTAAAGACCTCATGTACAGTTAGTGTTTAACATTTTATATGAACATGAACATGAGATAAGCGTTTTTATCCTACGCCAAGTAGAGTTTGAGGGAGATAAGTTGGTAAGATATATCCCGTATCCTGATTTTGAGGTTTCCATATCCAGAACCTCCATATCTCCCGTCATATCTCCCGCTTCGGTGCATATCTTCCCGCTTCGGTGCATATCTTCCCGCTTCCGGTAAATAGTGGAAATGCAATAAAATGACTTTGCATATGAATGATTTGATTGTTTTTACACCTTGTTCTATTGAAATGGCCATACTCTACTTGGTATAGGATAAAGCAGTTATGTACGGTCGGTTTGGATATTGGGTTCATCCCTCGTGAGATATGCACATCTACCTTCGGTCCCTACGGTCCCTCAGGTAGATATGCATATCTCCCTCTGGATAAACCCCATATCCAAAACCTCCCAGTACATAACCCTTATATATACATCCGAATATATCTCTATGTGAAGATTTTTTCTCGTCGCAAAAACCTTTTTCTAAATTTTGAGAGTATGCCATGACGTTTTATACGTATGTGACGCTATGTCATTGGTTCGGATTAATTAAATATTGAATTATCTAATATCTTGTCCATTATGTAACACCAAGATCATTTATCCTCTGTTCAAAATCCAATTACTCTATACAAATACATATAGCCCAATAGCCTACCGAAACTATACTATTTGTGACCATTACTAGTAAAAATATGGGAAGCTAATGTCTCGTTTTAGTCAAGAAATTCTAATAAAATAGATATAATACAAACATTAGAAGAAATTGGCAATCCTTTTAAAACCAGTTCGTTTGTTATGTAGCCCTTACTTCTGATGGAAACATCAGATGCCTCTTACTAGTGCTTACTAAACGTTTGTACATGTATGTATATGGAAAGTATGCAAAACAATACCCTAATTAAATTGAGGTTCTTTTTGCCATAACTGTCATCATATTAATAAGTTTCTATGTAATGATCCCATAGCATAACAGGCAGTCACCAACCAATTTCCCACCACTCACTATCATAATACAAATATATTATATCAACATTATATAATTATTGTCACTTTTAGTCAACAGAGATATTTTATTTATGTTTCCAGAAGAGGGTGACACTTCAGCATCAACAGATCTCAGTACCGCTTTAACATTCCGCAGTTTATACAAAAGAATAAAAAATTCTCGACTCTCAATTATCCCCGCCAGGAGAGAGATCTTCAACAATACGACACCACTTACATTGGAAAAATGTGCCGAGCGTTGCACAAAAGAGACTGAATTTGAATGTAAATCATTCGACTTCGATAATGGCAAGCAGACTTGTCTTCTGCAGGCACATAACAAAGATGACCTGGATGTCCATCTTATAACACAACCATACTTCGATCATTATGAGAGTAAGTTTTGGAAGGCCGTTCAAAGTCAAAACATGGAAAAATAACTGAAACATTTTTATATGCACCAAAACTGGTGTGAAAGAAATTATGGTCCCCCAGGGATTATATAGGGTTTCCATACACAGACGAAACAGAAGTAATCAATTAATTAGATATATACGAGTTCTAAATTTCATGTTATACTCTTAAAATGCAAAATAGGGTTTTTGTGGAGTTTTGAATACTGTCTCTTCTCTTCCATAAAAAGGTCACCTAGATTCACTGATATCATAAAATTTGTTTAATCACCAAAACAAGTACATCCAGAGTACATCTGGCTATATCTGTTTGAAGTTATATACCAGCCAGGCGTTCTGTTTTTTGAAATGCTCAAGTGCTAGCATCAGTAGCAATAGACATATCTTGAACCAGATACCCCACAGTGTTGTTGATGTGAAACACCAGCTCATGTAAAAACATAAAGCATGTTATAAAACATTGGCTCATCCAGTGAATCTTCTATTATTGCCTTCTAAAACACTATTCACATTTTTTAAAAGGGAATGATGTTACAGAACTGCCAGAAACCATGTTGTTTTCTGTATCTCTGTACGCAGCCAGGTTGAGATAACTTTGTGTAAATGTGGCTTTGCAGTAATTACATATAATGAAGGTTATGGTAGCTACTTTATCTATGAATAGCTATGTCAGAACGTCTTTCGGAACTTTAAAATATTTAGTTCATAACTGGTATGCATTTCTGTTTTGGAATTTAATGCAAAACATTCATCAATTTTAACACTCATGTGTATTGTGTCCCAAGCCGTTGTATAATTAGATAATTAGAGCTTCACTACTGGAATAGATTTGTTAAAGAGGCATCATGTGTATAATTTTGGCAAAAAGATATTTTTGAACTATTTCAAAGATTTTTGTTTCTGAGCAGAATAAGGTTCTTTGTATTTTAACCTCATCGTTAACTTACTTGTATTTTCTCTTTTAGCAAACTACATTAAGAAGTTCAATCGTCTTCCTAATCACGTGGTTACTCTGCATCATGACAAAAAGATAGAGGGCGTTTCAGAGGAAGCATGCGCACGCAGATGCATTCTTGAAGTCGAATTTAAGTGTCAGGGTTTTGACTACGAAGCAAAAATCAAAGTATGCTGGTTGACAACGAACACACCGGCGTCTGCTGGAGGAGCCCTCCTCCTCAACGACGCCACCTATTATGAAAGAATGCCACGTGAGAAATGTTTCATAATTTTTGATTACCTCTCCTTGCCAAATGACAATAATCTTGGGTATGAGTACAGGGTGAGCCATAGGCCATGAATCACCTATTTTAAAAAAATCTGATTAATGACTTATCTGAAGTGACCTCATTTAGGATGTGGGACATCCTCGGGAGTAAGCCACCCCCATCCACCTCTATTAAGCTATAGTTTTCTACCTTTATTACGCTTATAGTTTTCTATAGCGCAATATGAAGGTGGGGTGACTTACTCCCCGTGGTAACACCATTAAGGTAATTGAAAAAAGCTACACATCTGTTGAAAAGAACTGTCACTATGGACAAAAACCTATATTTATATTTTCAAAGTAAATATATTATTATTAGGGACGCACTCTTTATGTATCAAGGCAGAGCGTTGATTTCAAGATTCACAGCGACGTTGCCCTCTTTCCTGCACGCTACGAATGAAGAATGGTTCCTTCAGCTGTATACATGTACATATGTTTGCTTATTGCTTACTTATGATTTATTGCAGAACATCAATTATGGAGTAAATTAAGCCATATCTGGTCCATATTATTGTATACAAATATTTAATTCCATTGAGGGGAATACCTGTGCATCTTTCACAAGTGATATTCCACGAAGCCTGAGGGGCTAGTGGAATATCATCTTGTGAAAGTGTCACAGGTATTCACCAAAAATAGAGTTAAATATTTGTTTTATTATCCACTGTTATATTCCTCACTCACATTAATGGAATACAGACTAGTGATGTCTAATTAATCATAACAATGTACTCCCGGGTACATAAACCAGAATTACAGTGGACAAAGTCGGACTGGTGTATATCATTTGACGTCACGTGACTTCCTTTGAATATCGCTTGTGATTATTCACGTGTAGGACATTGACCAATCAGAGAGTGAGGAATATGACAGTGATATAATAATAACAAATATAGGAATCCGAATAAGTATTTCTCGGCACAAATTAACAAATATTTACAAACTTACAATATGGCTGTTAAATGACATGACAGATGTACTCTCAAGTTGAGCAAACGTATGGATTCAATTGTTTACAATTTTAACATAGGAATGACACAAGCTGACAAGTGTTAATAGTTCGGGGTTCTAATTCTAACCATTTCAAATCAAGGGACACGGTAATAGCATATCAGGATCTTGGACCAAGCCTAGCAATTCCCCCTCGTATATTGGCGGATCCAGAAGCTAAGAAGGGGGAATGGGGGAGAGGCACATTTCAAATTAGAAAAATATTGTTAATAGGTTTTGGGCCTCTAAATCCAAAAATGGGACCCAAATTTAAGGCCCGGGCACCCTGGATCCGCAAGTGTGATGGATCATCCAGCTGTGTTCGATCAGTGGGAATCAGTGGGGCTGGGCACTGTAGAAGCTTGTCGAGTGCCTTTAAAAATGATTCGTCGTTTAGTTGGCCATAAATTAGTAGGTTAATCTGGTAGACGATAGCCGAAAGTTGCGAATACAAGATTAGTCTCATGGACAATGGTCATGATGGAAATGAATTTAACTTTCAAAGGACTAAGTCCAGTCTACTTTACACGATGCTGTCCACTTATACATTTCGAAGGCGTCTCCCTATAACATGATCTTCTATAAAATGTCGATATGCCACTCGCCAGTCATTGTGAACAATTAATGGTATTCTCCATTATTTGTGAGAAAGCTATATATGTTTTACGATGTGTCCCAGTCCAAAGCATGATGATCATTATGAGACCGTCTACTTTCTTATTCCAGAGGGCGCTCTAAGTCGATTTGTCAATTATGGATTCGGATCGTTAAGGACGATGTCTGGCACGAATAGCTACTTCAAAGTCGTGAAGGGTGAATTGGAAGAGTGCGCCCAATATTGCTTAGATGGGACACCACAAGGGCGAAAATGTCTCAGCTTTGATTATACGTTTGGAGACCAAACCTGCCATCTATCGGAGTACATAGCGGCCAATGTACAAGGCATTTCTACTAACTACAGGTTCAGAGTAATGCACTATGAATTAAAAGGTTTGTTTTGATATTTAAGTAATTCATAATAAACATTTCATATATTGTAAAACGAATACCTTCCATATATGCTGTGTGCAATATGTAAAATGAGCAGAATAATTCGAAGTGATACTTGTGAATAATCAATGTACATGGCGATTATATTCCTGTATTTATGCCCCTGTGCAAAAATAGTTGAATTATAAAAGTCAGACCGTGAAAGGAAAATGGATGGTATCTAAAAAGATCTCTTGAAAGCCCATGCTAAGACTCCCTATAAACCATATGAACTTCATCATTGTAACAAATGAAAACCGTATTCTACGTAAACAGTGATCAAAATATAATCAACAGAAATGCTTATTTCAGAGGATTACTTGAGATTCTTCTACCCTCTACCATACTCGGTTCTCCTCGCAAACAACCATAAAACGTACAAAGGTGTCACCCCCAATAGATGTGCACGTATGTGTATGGAAGAAGAAACATTTATATGCCGCTCGTTTGATTACCAGGTAAATATAGTGTTACATAAACTATAATATAAAGCCTTTTATTCTATTAACAAATAGTATAACTGACATGAAAAATATTCATTGTAAAAAGCAATATGTTATAAAAGTAACTTATTATGACCGTTGTTGCTGTCACAGAGTGATAAGATAAACGAGTATTGCATATTTTTAATATGTTTTATATAACTGTTAAATTGTATTTTATACATTTTTAACGTTCATTTTTAGTATGACGTGAGTGCAAATTTTCCAAAATGATATATGTTCCCCATTTTATTTCATCAATTTGTATTAATCATTAACCCATGTCGTGTGAGATGGATAGTACAACAAAATGGGATATTTTGCTATAATCTCAAAGCCTCGATGTTGCATCTCAATGACAACGATATTATCTAGGGGCTACAAATTAAGCTATATTCCAACTTAAAAAGTAATAGTTGTGGATGCAAATGATTCAGAAATACCCCAATCCAATATGTTCGTATTCCATCTCACGTGGTCTCCTTTGATTCTCCTCGATCATTTCACCCAATAGCCTATATAGGATGTCCAAAAAAATAAAAATCGGGATGTAATTGGTTATTTCTCAAATATGAATAATAATAGGAATATTTCACAGCTACCATCGGATAGGCTATGATGTCCTCTTTTTTTATGATACTATAGATGTCTATTTTCCTTCACGGATGACTGGTATCATATGAAAGGGGAAATAAAGACGCAAATGATGGTATCTGCGAATTTTCACTAACATTAATTATCTTTCAGAAATAAGCAATTTAATCTCGGTTTCCTTTTTCGGGACACCCTTTATAGTTTGTATCTTTATATAATTATGTTCCACCTGCATGCAATTATATATAAATTATTTAAATACCAACAAGAGGGACTGCGTTAAGATCCAGTGTTGGTTTTTGTCGTAGAATTCCATTTCTTCTTTCTAGATTTCACCAATTTACACGCATGTCAGTAATGTTATTTAGTATTGTAGTTATTTCTATACGGTGCATTTCCTAAAGGATAGATTTTTCACCAGTTCATCCCATGGTTCTAAGAGGAATCATTTCAATGATAAATCACATCAAATACATAATGCACTACCATGCTAATTTCCTATTTTCTTCACAGGCAACATTATGATGTCTCGCGAGAGTTGACAATATATCAAACATCGTTTATACAGACATGTTAATGGTCTTTACATTAAATCCGGTAGAATATGTGCAAAGAGGGAACACCATTCGACATTTTAAGATATCAATAAGCTATAAGTAGCAGTTTAATAGCTGCATTTCAGTCTTTCAAATCATGCTCAATTGGTATTTGTCCCATTGGATTAGATATTTATTGGTTGTTATTACATCTATCAGCGATCCTCTTTAGAAAGATGCTAGCGAGATGATAAAAGTTTTGCCAATAAGATTGTGATCGAAATCAAATTGTAACACTTCTATGCTAGTGTTTCAAGGAGAACTGTTTTGTTCCAATGATGTAAATTTATTAATTTTACACATCTTTGGCGTTTAATGTTGACAATAGTCTTTACTCCGAGAGCCAACTTGCTATTAGTTTACTTATAAACCCAACTCGCAGTCTTTAAAATATATCAAAGCATTTTCTAAAGTAATCGAATACATGACTGATCTAATAAACAGCTGGTTAGTGTATAAGTCACACTTTCTAGGTCTGCAAATTGGTAATTCCAACTTAATTTAATAAGAAGACAGATAAGTAATGTAGAACACCATAATCAACAACCATCATTGATGGATTTGTCCAAGTAGATGTTTGAGTACACCAATATCAACTCTTGTCAATTTTTATTAGTTTAAAGCAGCTTACTTAACTCCATTTATTTGCTTAGCCCGATAAACCACCTGCTAATACTGAATTCTTAAAAGAAATGTCATTTATCTTGCAGCTGTATTTCCTCTTTATGCCAATGACCACTTTTTCTCATTTTAATGAGTTTATTTAGTAGAATAGTAGAAACGATGCACGCAAATGAGACTTTTTAAGTCAATCATTTCGTGTCGAGTCAACAATTAGCAGAAATAACCATCATCTCCAGACGAGAACTATTAAATATGTATATTAAGGGGCAGACTAATTGACATGTTCTCATTTTCTAATAAGAAAAATGGGAATTTATTTATTCCTTAGTAGCCAAGAGAATGATGTTTCAATTCCTGGTTTGTCAGAATATTACGTTAGTTGCTTTTTCAATATTACTTTCGGACTGTAGGGCAAGCCTGAACTGCACAGTACACTATCCAGGTTTTAAAGACATAAATGCGGAAAAAAGAAAACAAATTCATAGTGTAATGAGAAGCACGAGTATTTTCATACTAAGCCTTTCTTATTCCGGCTTTGAGTGACAGTTACAGTAGCCGTGGTATTCAATATTTGTAAATCGTGGTGACAAACGCACACTTGCTGCTGCATAATTATATGAAACATACCTTTATGCATACATTTGCAGAATATCAGCTCATATTCCCCGTCTCAATCAATTGCTACATAGGATTTAATTTAGCTAAGTGAAATTTCATTTCAAAATGGTCTCCATTTTTCTGCTGAGTGAACTGTATCCGTTGATTTTGAGGTGCTTTCCGAAAATAAATTTAGAAATATTTAAATTCAGACAACCAAGTGACGAACTCAATGTAATAAATATTCTCACAAATATTAATAAAAAAATTATTAAATAGAAGTTTTAGGCACCTGTCGCACTTTTTTAGAGTACATACGAAATCAATGAAGTTACATCTAGCCGTAAGCTAGAGACTCGAGTAAAGTACATTGTAAGCCATCCACTTGCTTCAATTCAATCTCATAATGCCTTTGGTACAAGGGGACGAGGGGTATTGATGACCATCACATAATGTAGTGTTTGAAATGAAGTGTTGGCTATTCCCTCAGTATCTTTAACATTGGAAGTACCATTGATTTAGGGTCGCAGTGTGAGTAATTGCATTTTAAGTGAGGATAGCCTAAACCAAAGGAATTGCAGTGAATATAAATCTTACTTCTCTTAGCCAGGGGATTTCAAAGTTATTGACGCAAATTTTCCTTAGAATGCCCATACTGGTGATTTATCAGTTTCAAACTGTCAACCAATATAAAAGTTAAATCTATTTGACGATATGCGTCTTGTATATCATTATTTTAGATTACATTCTTAATTGCGTACTTCTTATTTAATTTTGTTGGTATTTATTATTTTTTAGCTGTCTGTGATTTTCATGAATATTACTATCTTACAAAATGTGACATCCAGACACGTTTGTAATATTTGTTGTCTTGTTGATTGGTATCATATGATATAATAATCATTATAGCCTATCGACACTTAACATTTTTATCTCTGAATATTTTCTCATAGGGATTTTTAAACAAAAAATGAACAACGATGAGTGAAGAAATTGTCTATGGTAAAAAAGAGTATAGAATGGTAGCGCCTGCCATATTCGTTATTATTCTAAGAAACATAGAAATTCACGTCTTGTCATTTTATGTCTGTTTATTCTATAACCTAATTTATGATTTTTTCTGACGTTATAGCAAAGGGTATGCAAACGAAAAAATTTCTACTTTGCTAAATACATATTGTTATTAGATATTCAAATGTTGTAATGCACATTTACGGAATGTATTCACAGTTTTCCAATTCGTTGTGTAATTGTTACATTAAACGATTCCCTAGTTTAAACGTGCTCTGCGTGTTTCTTGTATTTGAACCTCTGTAAAAGATACGTGTCACGATTAAAGGATTGTTAGAAATAGAGATTTGCAATTTAATGAAGAAGAAGACCTTACGAGCTTTGTTTCTTCTTAACAGGGCTTGTCTGATTAATTTTTTTTCTACTTACAATATGCAACTTCGTTATAACCTGGCTTTAAATTGAATATACTACTACCATTGTAGTAATTCCCATTGGATGCAACGAAATATTAGAATACCCCTTCACCTGGAGTCAGATTGAAATGAAGTTTAATGAAATCTACAATGTACATTCTGACGATTGAATGTAATGCATTTTTGAAATGGCCTTTATTTGAGGCCAGGTTTTAGTAAAGAAATGAAATAGATTTTTCAAAATTTCAAATTCTTTTACCCTTCTGTTTAATTTTGAAAAATATTGGGCAAAGTTAATTTCTGAATCCAATTTTCAGCTTCCCTTTAATCATGACACTGTTTGGAATCTATTGACAACTTATCAACTTCTGCTTAACTTTTCATTCACACATACTACAAGGATTTATTAATGAATTGCTCGATCCTTGAGAAATAGCATACCTTTGAGTAACCTTTTTAATATTCTTCATAATAAAGGTAGTATTTCTGTTTCACATATTGCTTTGCTTAAACTAAATTCACAGATGATGGCAAAATAAACTAACTCGATGGTCAACTCTTGAACACTTTTGAACATATGTAACATTCAATCATTGCCACTAGATTATTGCCATTCTGATACATTCAAACATAAAATGTAATTTGACAAATATCAACAAGCGATGGTCGTATAAGTAATATATCGGAACATTATATAATCAATCATTTACAAATATATTATTTCAATAGATAGAAAAATTGATTCCCGGGGTTGATTCATACATAAATCGAGTTGGTTATGTCTACTATTTAAGCTATCTTTGGACTAATGAATATGTAGTGAATATATGAATAATATCTAGTACTATTTTTTAATGTCTAGATTCAAGATGGAACCTGTTTACTCAGTTCTAAGACAGGAAGTGACGTCGGGGGACTTTTCACACAAGGCCTTTCCCAAGTCCACCATTTTGAGATGAAACCTATGTTAGGTAAACTCTTTACTCTTTCTTTCAGAAAACTAATCTAAAATAAAGGTTAATGAAACGTTTCCTTGGAATCTATCCCAAATTATGAGTCTTAATTCAATGCGGTTGGTTGCACCTCGTTAAGTATGATGATAAAAGGTATTTTTACAATTTTTTGTCATTCGATTATACTTTTAGATTGTGGGGGTAATTTAACAGAGCATAATACTGGATTTGCCTCCCCTAACTGGCCAAGAAACTACGCTCCCCATGAATCGTGCCAATGGAGAATTAAAGTTCCAAAACACAAGGTAACTATATATATTACTACAGTAACTAGTACATTCTTAATGTCTTAAGAAATTGCAATAAAACACAGGCTGTGTTAGGAAGAGAATTGGAATTTTTAGTTTTATATATTTGTAGTTTACAATAGCAAATTAGTTACGTGTTCTTTTTTAGGTGATACATTTCAAATTTATATACTTTGCCCTTGGATTACAAACGTTGAGCCCGTGCCATGAGGAAAATGATCGTTTGATATTCAGAGAAAATCTACCTGAGACAGTAGACGAATTTTGTATTCGGCCACATACAAAAACAATAATTTCAAAAACAAATGAGATGACTGTTAATTTTACAAGCAGAGGAGGCCCAGATGAACAGGGATTCAGAGTTTTCTACACAGCAGGTATGGTTGATTATTGTTTAATATGGTTTTCATCTTCTGTTTACATGTTGTTGGATGCTTCTTAGCTGGGTCATTAAGGTAGCATCACATCAAGTAAGCAAAGTCAAAAACCCCAACCAATACATAATTAAATATACAGATACATTCATATATAAATTAAACATGTGATAATAGACTCAATTCTGCTGAAGTATACGATAAATAATTGATTTTGATTATATAATTTATGTTCCAGATTGGCCATGTGATGTAACGTTCACAAAGTATTCAGGGGAATTTGCATCATCCCGATGGCCAGAAAATTATCCCCCTGGGACAAGATGTTCATGGCAAATGAAAGCCCCGTATGGATACAAAGTAAAATTAATGTTCACACAATTTGAACTTGAGCCACATGCCATTGGAACAGAATGCCATAATAGATACGACTATGTATCAGTACACGACGGACCCAGTTTTGACTCACCACAGCTTGGGAGATACTGTGGTGCAAATGCGCCTTTTACTTTGTTCTCAACAGGCCGAGAAATGTATGTTACATTCTTCTCTGATGAACAAATAGAGCGCCAGGGTTTCCATGCAAAATACTTATTCGAATCTAGATTCTCCTCTCCAGATGGTTCATCAACATTTAAAACTGGTCCAAGACCAACTCTAGGAGTATATACCACACCTTCAGTAGCATTTACAAACCCTAACAATATCATACCATCCATAAAAACTGTACAAAACCAGACGATGGCAGGAAACACAGACAATAATGTAGTCAAACAGTGGCCATTACAGTCTTCAAAGACCACAAATGGTGCCAATACTGTGATGATAGCAATTATCTGTGGACTTTTAGTTCTAGTCTTACTTATAATCGTAGTCTTGTTCCTAGTCTGCAGATACTACAGGTAATGTTCTCGAGTATTTTTTTAACTTTGCCAACAAGATTCTTCAATAGTTTGTCTTTTGGATAATTTCTTGGTTCTTTTTGAAAAAGTACAGGGTGGGCCAAAGCAACTGGAACATTTTCCCATCTATTGTTCGTTTTTGCTAGTCATGTAATATCTTTAATACTGAGGAAAAACAATTCCAATTCCCTGCCAACAGCTTGTGTAAATATGAATATACAAGCTAAACATTCAATTACTCAATGTAAGGACCCAACTGAACAATTAGTCTGAGCCTGTATTTGACAGTCGTACATGACTTAAATCATAGGTTATGAGACAAAGTGTGCCAGTTTTGGAAAAAGCTGATTGAACTGCAAGAATAAAGAATTATATTGAATGAATATAAAAATGTTCCAATTTTTATTGGCCTACTTTGTACATTATTTGAAGTGGGAAAGGACACATTGGTCAGAAAATCGGAGACGAGACTTGAGATTCCATTAATCTCTTATTGTTTTAGATTATAACAGTGATGATAATTCACTATAGTTATTGTATAATCTATTGGTCAGCTGATCTGTAACGTATATTTTTGAGTTATACATTTAGAATTAATATGTTATACCGTCACATAATATTTTGATCTTAATTCAGGAAACGAGTTCCACACAGGAGGAATCAGCCCAACTATTCATTTGCTGCAGAATCGGAAGCTTTAAACCATAAACCTGGGTAATTAGATTTAATTTTTAACTATTCTATATTGCTTAAAAACCCATTCGTGAAACTAATATATGCGTCTCTTATTTGTTTATTGCTGTTATTTCCACAATACTATTTTCAAACTATAATTATATGATTATTAATAACGACCGAGATTCTGTGATTTATAATGCAAAATTGACCTCTGGTTTGTTCTGATCATTGGTAAAAGACTGATCAAAAATGATTCGGAATAAAATGTTATGATATCGTCTGTTTCTATAAATTGAATATGAATTGTAGAAACAAGCTTTTCTCGCAATCCTAATATGATAAATATACCTGTCTGATTAATTGATTCAGCATGAGGTCATTACTCAATGAAGAACTATGCACACTCCTTTTGATGCAAGGATAATATCCACTATTTAGGTCATTTATAATATTAGAATTTAAATTATTAACTTGTGAATAGTTATTAGGGATAGTTATTACGTGTCCTTGATGTTTTATTTATTAACTATAGAGTAGAACTAATATAGGCCTGAATTAATGTACATACTAACACACAAATTATTTTATTAATATAAATTAATATGTACCAGTATATAGCAGTATATCTCAATATCTGATTATTTTATAATTTCCTACAATCAAGAATCTTGAGATATGGGAGCCAGAGAAATGTAGTTTGTAAAATGGTTGTACCTGACAACTGGTGAGATGCATGTATATTGAATATTGTTTCACGTGAATGTTTCACAATATATTCCATATACATAAATGTCCTATAATTACTAGTTGTAACTGTGGCTCAGTAATGACATACATTGTATGATCCTATACACAGATTGGGCCAAAAAAACGAATACATAAGTTTAAAGTTGAATATTACATGTTAAACCATGTGACATACGATATATATTTTTAAAGATAACTCATTACCTAACAATATGATACCATCCGATTGAAAACTTTTTCTTTTATTGTGGATTTAGAGGCTAAAATTGACACCAGGGGTGTCATGAGCGACCAAAAATAAAAATTCCCAAATTTCCCTCCATATTGCTGACACAGCTGCACTCAAAATACTTGAGTGAATCATTATAAATCCATTTAAAAGTATTACACAATTGATTGTTAAGTACAAAGATATATAAGTATCACGGTTGAATTCTGCACTTAACTTGAATAAATGTACTTCATTAGACTAGGTGCCAATAAATACAAATTTCCCTCCATTTTCCATAATTTAGAAATCTGCAGTGAATAATTTTTTATCGCTTGTGACAAACCTGTATACCTAGGTGTCAACTTTAGAATTTAATTCAACAGAAAAACAATTATTCAATCGAATGGTGTCATATTGTTAGGAAATAATTAATCCTTAAAATGACATACACTACATGGCATGGTTTAGCATATGTCATATAATATTCATCTTCAAACGTGTGTATTGCTTTTTGGCCAACCCTGTAATTAGACTATGAAAAATTTCCTAAAAAAAATATATTTATCAAAAGTATAATGTTTGAATGGACAGTTGCTGCTATTTGATTTTACTATTCGTGTTTTCAACGTGTCTTTAGCCAAGCGTTCTTTACATTATACATATCGCATGGTAATGTTGATTGTTATTAAGTCAAATAATGCATGCATTTTGTTTTATAGTCATGTATTGTTTTTCACCGTTTAACATTTCCGTTGAGCCCTTTTCGCAATTCATCTGTTACAACATCCAAATCACAGTTTCAGTCTTGATTTGATTAAAAAGCATATAGACTAGTCTAGTAATCTAATGATTTTAATGCAGTATGTGAAATGATTATATCATCATGGATGTCCGATGACGTCACTGTGACATAACATGTGGTGTCATATATAACATAAAAGAGGCCACTCAGCCTGCTCCTTGTTTTTAGATAAAATAAACATTGGTTGTCATGGGACGTGTATGATTGTGAATTGGGCTTGGCTAAATGGCATAAATAGACTATTGATCCTAATATAACATCTGACCTTAAATGGGTATTTTCACAAGTTGCATTTGTCACCATGTGAAGCTATCATTCGCAAGAAGCAAAACAATATTACATTATTAACCATACAGTAGCTCTCGGAATGTTTTGCCACATGTTCCAACAAATCACCACATTTTCTCAATCAAATCACACTCAATTATTTGTCTTAAGCTAGCAGTTATAATTTAGCAACTTATCATCCTATAAATTGTTCAAATAATATACTCATATAATGCAATTTAAGTACAAATACTTTTTTCTCAATATAGAAATGAAAAATAGAAGTTGCATTTAATAACAATAATATCCTGGCTAGATATGTGCATGCATGCCTGGAACCTAACAAACGGATCCGGTATGTTTTCGGTAGTTCACAAAATCTAGCACCATAAACTTAATAAATCCTCACTTTGTGTCATTTTTGAACATATGAAGGACATAATAGGAGCATTCTGGGAATCTTTGCTGAATCTTATAATCGTTTTTAATCATTATAAGCTACTATTATATTTTCAGCGATAAAACAGAAGATGACCAGACGGAAAACGGCGACGGACCTTATGCTAGGTACGTTTTATTGTTAATGTTAAATGTAAGAATATATTGAAATCTCATATATATGTTATAGTTTAAAATAAAAAAATATCACCCAAGTATAATCATGTACTATTATGCATAAAATCAATATTTTAAACAGTGGTAGAATTAAAATATCACCCAAGTATAATCATGTACTATTTTGCATAAAATCAATATTTTGAACAGTGGTAGAATTAATTAGGAGGCCCTCTATATTTATGTATTTTTCTATCAACACATTTTTACTCCTACCTTCAGCTAGAGTATTGAGATGATTTGAATGCTCCTATTAATTAGTTGGTCAAAATCGGAAGGAAGGTTGACTAAGGCCTGACACTACTCTTCAATAATCTTACCTGAATTTTTGCAGACACATACGTAGATATTAATTCTCAGGAGTTCTGACCTTAGATCTGAAATTTGATCTGCAATTGACCTTGAGTGACCTTTGAAAGGTCAAAAAGTTCAAAAATCTAATTCAAATTGAGGTCAGCTTATTTACAAATGTATGGAAGGATATACGTTCTTCTAAATGTTATTAGCAATTAACTATCTAGTTTTGTACCAGTTTTTCAATATTAGAGCTAAAAAATTCAAATATTTCTAATATTTTTTCAAGGTCAAATTTCAACTTGCTTCAAATTCAACAATATATTCAAACATCATCTGCAAGTTGCCAGAATATGACTTTAGTTTTACCTATGATTGACATTCAAGTTATCAAAAACGCCCATGGGAGCCTCCTTAAGATTGTTTGCTATCTTAAATTTATTTTTATGTTTGCTATTTCAGTATTGAATTCCAACCATTGACTGTCAATGCTTCATTCTCTAATCCTCTGTACGGTGCAAAACATGAACAACAGACTGGGGTGAAACAACCTCTTTCTCCCAAACCAGCTGTGCCACCAAATATGCCAAGGAGAGAACCGTTGAAGACCGCAGTATAAATGAACCATCTCTCTCGGGCAAGCTGTTTTGCCAAATAGCGACCCGTTGAAATCGCAATATAAATGAATCGTCTCAGCAAGTTGTTCCCCGAAACCGTTGTTGAGAAACACCAAAGGAAAGCTAAAACAAGTATCATGAATCTGAACCCGCCCCTTAGGCCTAGGTCTTTTAGACATTTCAATATAGAATGGCAACTGAATTGTTTTTTCCAACCCTTAAACGGCTGTGGGGGAAGGGGGCAGGTCTCCCCATAAGGATTTTTTCATAACATTCGTAGTAATCTTGATATGAAAGTCTTGATCTTGATCTGAAATTTTCTGGCTTTTCTTAAAATTGAATTAGGCATGTTTTAGCGAAAGAATTGTGACCCTAGCCCCCCTAGGAGAAAAGATAGAGCTTGTCAAAGTTACTGAAATACTCAAATTGTCAGTAGTTTTGACTTGAAACTATAAGCTTCTATGTTCTTAGAATATGAATTTCTTCATCAACAATGGCTCAAAATAGTTATAAGTAAGCGCAATATACTGGGAATCTGGCAGATCTGCCCCCTCCCTTACCGTTGGTGTAATTCTCGGTAGCCTAGCCGTTTAGTGGTTGATTTGTCATCACTTTAAATTCTTAATCCTACTCTGTACAACAAATGAGATTGTATATGCAAGTGAAACTGCTCGATAATGGAAACTAATAAATGATATAAATGATGAGCAAACGTTAGATACACAATTGATATAGATATACGGTAGGAAATATATTCCCTCTTTGGGATGAACTTACTTTATCTTAGCAAGTTTCAACTGAATTTATTTCATTCAATGACGAAATCATGAATACTTATCTAGTAAGTATTTTTTCTACATCAACTATCAGTGATGAAACTACCAAACTCTGTGAAAAATTAGTGACCAGAACCGATGATAAAATCCTCACTATAATATTAGCACCGGACTGATATAGTTTGATTAGTTCACTTGTATTAGTGGAAAACATGTACAAATATCCGTTTAACATATCCGTTTTATACAATTTTGTGAAAATAAGATTTTGTACATGTCACACTAGTAAAATGATAAACCGAGGTATGACCAGATTAAGATGGATGTTTGAATCTGGTCCTAACTATACACATATATGTACACAAAGCTATACTCCGCCATGGCGACTCATGGGGTGCTATGCCATGGTGGTGAACTCAGACGTTTTGTGATTTCATGTAAATATTACACGAAAGAGGGAAAAAGAAGTTCAAAAACAAAAGTTTGTCATATGTATAGAACGTTGTAAATATGTGTCATGTGTATATACTGTACGGCTTTTTTAATAAATTGAAAAAATTAAAAACAAATCATTTTTCATTTTTAATTATCATGATTAATAAGTACTTTTAAATCTAAATGATTCGGTATCTAAATGAACTTCGACATCAATTTAGTCTTAATGACCTTGACCCGAACTACTCTGACATGACCTTTGATCTGAACCCTTCGCGGATTACCTTGACCTGATTCAAACTCTCACGTGAACCTTATATGATCTGAATTTCCTTTAATAACACGATGGATCAAAAATGACCTTGACCTGAATCACATTTGACAAGATCTTGCTCTGGGTAACACACAGAAGACTACCGTATCAGATTCAATGCACAATATTTTGGCCGTAATGGTGAAAATCAATTTTGTTCCCTAAATAATAAGACGTTGACAACCAAAACGAAATGCACCTAAAGTGACATGAAAATGCCGACGAAAATACCTCCAACATATTACCTATAATTTGATGCATAGATATCTTAAGACCACGGGAAATGCTTCTGATCATCAGACTTTAATTTAAAACACCCCTTTTCGGAAGCATCGAGTCCCTTTGACCACCACAGATCATTTAGGTTCAGCCCCAAGTGGTCATCAATGCATGAATCACAAAATCGCAAAATGACACTTAATACAAAAATCAATTTATAATTCCATCCATATATTTATTGAATATATCTAAATAAAGCCCTCACAAATATTCATTGAAAAATACTGCAAATTCAGAATGTATTTTACATCACATTTCAAATCAAACCACAATTTCTATGAACTAGAATACATACACTATTTTTGAGTATTTCAAATATGCTTATTTCCATGTGTACATTTGTCTAACTACTCACTGGGTGCCTTTTCACAGATTGAAGGAAATATCTCGCTGTACAGAGTAAAACATGAAAATAGTATATGTGATTTGTATCTGTACTTAAATACAATAATTAGAGGCTATGGTACTATCGTGGCATATATGTCCGAGGTTTTCAGTGATATATGGCCGGACCTTGCGAGGGCCATTGATCGAGGGCCATTGGTCGAGGGCCATTGATCGAGGGCCATTGGTCGAGGGCCATTGATCACTGAGAACCAAGGGAATATGTGCCACGATAGTGACATAAACGATTTGTAACATACCTATGATGTAGAGTGGTCAAAGAGAACTGATTTTTAAATTATTTAATTGATTAACAAAGGGTTTCAAAAACAAAAATTGATGGTCCGTTCCAATGTCATCCTTGCAGCAGGTATATAGTATATTATATACTGAATTTAAGCATAAATGATGTCCTTTGAAGAAGAATGTTCCCGTGTCTGCGATTGACCAAATGCATTAATACACGTGATCAGCTGAAAATAACACTACACGAGCAGTTTTTCTAAACCTACAACTACAACGTAATAGCGCCTTGACCGATCAGAAAGTTAGATGGCGCAGGCTTTTCGAAACGTATACTGGCCCACTGTATTGTGAACAGTTTAGTCATACATCATCATAGGTATGTTATAAAACCTGGTCATCGGGCACCTCCTTACATGCCTTATAGAACACTTCAAAATCCTGTTACCTATTAACTATGTGTAAGATTAACCTTTATGGGAGGAACACCGCCCAAGTGAAACATTATTTTGAAGTACCAAATGCATTCACTTCCAAAGGTTTCACTATAAGCTTATGCATCGATTACACCCATAAATTATATTGATTGTATGTGTATATTATTGTAGTCACAATCACATTTCATATTGTATATACGGTAAAACATGATTCACAATACAATCAGGACAAAGAGAACTAAAATATTTGGTGTATTAGTTGTGCATTATTCGGACACATAATACCCTCATCTTTTATCTATTGCACTCTGGACTTATATGTAACCAATTGAAATAACCTGTACTTGACATTAATTAATAATATTCAGTTATTAATGTAATAAGTCAAAGTGCAATAACGCAGATGCGAGTAGGTAGTTAACAGTCTCACCACCAGGTGGCTCATTCTGGTCAGATAGCATGGTGGGTATAGTAGAAAGTTCCATTTAACTTAAATATTATTAGTTTTAGTGGTTCAATTTTCATATCACGCTCATGTATCTAATAGTTAATGCAAATCAAAATATGTCCAGTAAAATGAAATATTATCTATCCAAAACAAGAAAACATATTTCACTTTATATGATTTTATAACATGGGGTCTATGGGGAATCTCCCAGTTTCCCAAAAAAGATTCAAAGTTGATAAACAATTTTCAAATCCATATTTCTAGATATACTTTTAATTATATCAATGAAGATTATTTCTACTCACATCTAGTCTATTGAGCAAATCATTAACAGTTAATATAATATGATTAATTAAAATATGCATTCACATAACACATACATAAATGGCTTGAGGTTTACATCTGCTACCTTCAGTTTTAAAAATATAATAAGAGTTAAACCTGATCTTAGATCTTAACATTCTGTCAAATCAGGATCTAGAACACCCAGCACCCCTCCAACTAAATGAATACTCCCAGTAACCAACACTTGAATGTGTGTAGCAGAGGTCAATGTTTGTGGAATAGGGGAAGTCAGGATGTTATTACTACTAGAGTTAATAGTATCGTCTTTTCCCTGAGAAACCCACACTAGAGTATCTGATATACACGGAAATGTCAATGTTTTCACACTCAAATCATTTAAGGGGTCTTTCTCCTCTAAGGCACTATCTGATTGGTTGTTTCCATATGACAATCCATTTTGATTGGCTACAATGCTATCACTATTGAGTTTGATTTGCTTGGCAGGCACTTCTTCGGCTATATCAACATTTGGTTGCATGATGCCATTTTTCCCAGCAGTTTTCATCTTTGCATAGTTGTTCATCAGTTCCAGCCAGACGTTTCTATTTTTGATGCAACGTGACAACTGTGTACCTTTCGTTACCATGAAGTTTGTTCGGTCTGAAAGGGATGTAAAATTGTTACTTCGGAGATGATTGCAGTGCTCATATTCAGGATCTTAAACAGAAGGGCAATAACAAATGATCGGGTCAAACGGTAAACTCATTTAGAGAGAAACAATGATATATAATATATACAATAGGTTATATAGACCTTGATATCCACCTGCAGATGCTAGTAGATAGTTACCAGTTTCACAACCATGGTGAGTTGGCAGACATAGTAAAAGAAGATAAAAAGATATGAGGAACAATTTTCAACTCTTATCTTTTTCAACTTTTGGAACTTGATAATTTCACCACTTATGATCAATATTTTTTCAATGAGCAACTTTTCAGTCACCTCCTATTAATTTTGCAAAAAAGAAATAAGCCTGTCCCCTTAAATGAAAATGAAGGCAAGCAATCATAATTGTGTAATTACAACACAGACTTACCCGGACAAGTTGTAGATATGGTACCTATGTTGGGGCAGAACACTGCATAGTCAAACTGCAATGGCTGAAAAACATGAAAGCTCAATTATACAAAATGATTAATCATATTACCAATCTCATTTTAACCATTCAACTGTTAGGGGGGGGGGGGCAGATCTGCCTAAGGAGGATTTTTTATAACTTTTTTGAAGTTGGTTTTTTGATCTGAAACTTCCTGACTTTTTTTTAATTGAATTATGGCTCTAACCTCCTTAGGAGGAAAGTTAGAGCTGGTTGAAGTGAAATACCCAAATTGTCAGTAGTTTTGACTTGAAATGATACCTCTATGTTCTTAGAATATGAATTTCTTCATTACTAATGGCTAATATAGTTAAGTAAGCTAAAAATACTGGGAAATGAGTGAGCTTTTCAATGATACATCCTCCTATAATTGGTCTTATATTTTAAGAAAATGGTAAAAATGCAAGTAACTTTGCCTGAATAAGTTCATTTTTTCATTTGGACACTCAAATTCAAAATATCATTCTTGTCCTGCCAAATGTAAGGAATAACAGGGGGATACTTTATAATAATTTGTACAAGTGAACTGAAATATTAATTGGCTCTAACTTTCAATATTTGTACTACTTTAGCCAAACCTTTGTAACATCTGATTGGTTGCGTCATCATATATCAAAAATTGACAATCTTTCTCATTATATCAATGTTGACATGAATTCATGATATGACTGATGCATAATTTATATGACTCACCAACAGGGGTTCCATAAGAGTCTCTGGCTGCCTGTCTCCTGTTGCGTTGAACACAAGCACCTTCACAACATCACCCCTAAATTACAAAATTGCACATAACATGTTATCACACAACAGTAAAACATGACATTTAGAAGTGAAATCTGGAAAAAACAACCATCAAGCTAGCTTTTTAATCATTTACAGCACTGGTTAAATATAATTGTAGGAATTGATTAACAGCTCGGTATCCAACAGACCTTTCTAATAAAGCATCAACCCTTTTGATTTATTTTATATTTCTAAAATAATAAAAAAAAGTTAATCAAAATTGAATTAACTTACTTTACTCCTTTGGCTTCAGTTGAGGACACAGTTTGGAACCAATGAACACATTGCTAAAAAAGATGGAATTATCGTTTAAAAAGCTACATTATACATCTTAAATTTTCCAGACAGTTTAGCTAAATACTTTCTTCCAGTCTGTAGAAAAGATAGGGTAACATTAACAATGATCAAACAGGCTAATGGCACACACTTGTGCATAAGATGCACTTCATTCTTATATTTTTACCTTATTGACATGAATCATATAAAACCAAATTAAAATTTGAACTACAAAAACATTATACTAAAATCAAATAACAAATTGATAAGAATATATAATATTTGCCCACCTCTATGCTTTTTGGAGTATGAGCGCCATCTACATAGTATGTAACTCTCTCACGCTTAATGGTTTGATTTCTTCCTGGCCAAAAACATGATTTTAACGCTACAAAAAGAAATAATTACAAGGCATCAACATGCAAAATGTCACCTGCCAACTTATTACAGATGCCCACCACCAAATACAAACCACCGAGCACCAACTGCCAAACACCATCCACAAAAATGTTGGAGACAAGAACAATATGTCACCCCACTTACGAAAGTATTTAGTGACTTTATTGACATGAAATCAACCAGGTCATATTTATCAGTGCTTGCTTTCAGATATATGAAGATATTATTAAAATTATACAGACGCTCATCATATATCTGAGACCATAATTTCACCATCAAAATTAATAATAAAAATATTCTTTTAAAATACATGTTAGTGGGTGTTTTGTGCTTTACGCGTGTTGACTTTTGTACATCGCCAATTTATCCAAAACAGGGATGAGACGCATCTAAAATATCGTAATGGATTTACAAATCAAAATGAAAATTTTTATTAATCTAAAAATTCAAAAATCAATTTTCTATTTAAGTAAAGATTTTCAATGCAGTTATTTATTTATTTCATTAAGTGGATGACAATGTGTTATTTTAATGTTCAGTATGGTTTAAAAAACAACAGGAGATCATGAGCCTTTGTCATTACGCCCTATGAGAATAAAAATGTCCCAACTCACATTTTTGTGAAACTGAGAAATCAATTTTTGAAAGTTTCAGGCATCTGTAATTTGTTATTTGTGAAATTTTTACATTCTTTTTATCAAAAATTTGTGTATATACACTAAAGAATCCATGAATTTAAAGATTTTCTAAGCCCATTTTTGAGCATATTGAAAATGGAGTTAGGAGAATTCAATTCCGAGTTTTTCGCAATATCGAAGGATTAAAGGTGAGCTTTGTCCATTTTGCTATGTATTTTCAATGGACATTACTTTCTCTATTCGTTTTTTTCAAAAATAAATCCAAATCTCATTTTAAAATTGTAATATGATAATTCTTAGCCAGATGGTGTAATTCAAACAATTTGATTGGTTAAAGTGAAACACAGAACAAAGTCAAATTGTATTTTCAAATTTTTTATGGAGTTAGGACAATTTGACACTGAAAAGCAGGCTATTGAGAGGAGATAGAGGTAAGGGAGTATCACAGTAAGAACAAGGATGGTTTAAATAGTGGATATCTGTAAAAATCTCAATTTGTTTTCAAAAATGGCACTTGGGACAGTTAAAGGAATATTCCGTGCCAGACCCTTTCTCTCTTGATATGGTAGCTATAATCATTATATAGTTTCCATATTGAGCAAAACATGGGGAAATGTTTTAATATGGTCAATATTGATCATTTAAAATCTAGTGCTTATTTCCAGTGAGCTGCCATCTTTTAAGATTTCTTGCAGGAAGTGATGTCATCAACTCTCAACCTCTTTAACCTTGCCCATAACAGTATAGGAAAGTAGCACAAAATCAATTCTAGACAAGTGATCATTACTTTCTGTGCAAAAATATTTTCAGGGCTTGTCAACTTAGAAAAAAAGAAGAGATTTTCAGAAGGATTAAATAAGATACAAAGTTGAAAAAGAATATTTAGCTGGTTTTGTAATTCTTAATAGCTCCTCACCTAATGCTATATGCAAAGTTGAGAGTCGATGACATCACTTCCTGTGTGAAATTTTAAAAGATGGCAGCTTATTGGAATTTGGCATCACATTTCTAAGTGATCAAATTTGACCATATCAAAACATTTTTGCGTGTTTTGCTAAACATGGAAAGCATATATATGGTTATAGCTACCATATGAGGAGAGAGATGGTTTGGCAAGGAATATTCCTTTAATAATATTTTAATAAAAGGCTCACTTACCATCTGCAACAGATGGTGTAATACTAAAAGCAGGAGCAATAGCTACTTCATCTTTGGAGGTAGATAATTCCATTTCATTCTGGGTATCATTCTCAATCAAATCACTTTTATCTACAAATAAAATATCACATTAAATAACTTACAAAAGTACTGGATCCTACAGATAATAGTCCGTTAAGCAGAAAGATGGACAGATAGTGGAACAAAGGCGTACATACAAATTAGATATTCTTTAAGCTTTACACGGTGTGACTTAAAAACCATTAAGTATACAAAAGTATTTACTCTTATTGTGGTTGGCCATCCAATTATGAGACAATTGAAGTGCCAGAGATGCATTCAAATGTTGGAGTTCCCCTGGTATCCCCAACTCAGGAGTCAATCCCTGCCAATCATACATCTCTAGCTTTGGTGCTACACTTAAGGATGACTGCAATGAAAAAACACGTTAATTTAACAAGTGATCTATGAAATAAATATAAGGTTTTAAATAAATATTAGACATGTGGTGTAAAAAGTATATACGACTATGGTTATTATACACTTAGTAAACACTTAATGAAAAGCTACACGAAATGACGATTCTCAAGGCTATAATACATGTTCAATCTGAAGCAATATACTGTTGACCAGTTTTAATGTTTTACATTTTTGGATATGTATTGATATGATGTTGCGATTTCATCCCAATGTGCCTTGTTTTTATAAAGATGTTTTACTCGCGCCGATTGTATACCTGTTTCTCAGCAGCTCTTTCTAGCATAACTTCCATAGATTTACCAGGTTGCTCTTGCACTGTCACAGCAGGTGACCCACTCTATATGTAATAAACACAAAGTATTTACTTTTTTGCCTTATTTGGTCATGGTGATTGGTCAAGCACTCAGATTCATTGGAGAATGTCAAGTGGAATTCATATGGACAATGTGATGATTTAGTATTAACAGAAATTGGTTCATAATTTGTTTTTTAATGTCGACATATTTATACCTATAACTGCTTTGAACAATTTGAATGCAGTATGCACCTTCTGCCAATTCCAGCCTCACAGTGAACTAATTCATCGGCTGTTCATTTTAAATTAACTCCTTGTCAATTCCTTTATCCTGCCCACTTAACAAAAATGTAATGCTTACCTTAAATATTCCTGCTTTATGCCAGGCAATCTTTTCTACAGTGTCTCCTAATATACTAGTGTGGTCTATACCCAGTGAGGTCACTCCACATACTACAGGTTTCCTATTAATGAAAAATTATAATGAAGCTTATACAGGCAAAAACTTAATAAGTACATGGTGTTAATCGTTATACATAATCTCATAATAATAAAAAAAGGTGAAGATTACCTTGAATACACAAATGTATCTAGAAAAGCCATATTGAAGGGATTGTGTCATTAACTTTGAAATCAACCTTCCTAACGAAGCTTAGAAGATTTATCAATCTTAAAACTGGTTGAACATATCAAAATATAAATTGACTTGCCTGATGACATTAGTGCAGTCATACTGCCCGCCTATCCCAACCTCAAATATAGCTACATCCACCTGGAAGATGTGTTTTTAATTTACATGTTTGACCCATTGTATTGTATTGAGCTTTTTATAAGGAATACACTTTTTACTCTTTATGATATGAAAAAATGTGTAGTGGCAATTTATGTCAGTTTAAATCCTACTAGTAAAATTCGATTTTGACCTTGGTAAAAAATAAGCATCACTTTGAATAACTTTCAATTTTCAATTTTTGAATCCATAAAATGTTTTTGAGAGATTATCATTAAAGTTTCAACAACTCTGTTCATTTTTCCCACATAAATTTTTTGAAAAGCTAGTAGCCAGGAGCTTAAATTTTAGTGATTTTAGAGGAAATAATTCAAACTTCCCCTTTAAACATTTTTGATTTGCACAATTACCTGTTCTTGCCGGAAGACATGGAAAGCCATAATAGTCAAGAATCTGAAGTATGCTGGCATCTTCCCCTCAAATTCATCTTTGGATGACTCCAGATTGTGGAAACAGTCCCAGAAATATGAACTAAAGGCATCTCTGGACAGTGGTTTCCCATTTATACGGATTCTCTCTCGCACTTCAATGAGATGAGGCGAGCTGTAAAAGAGTAATGTTATGTTAATTTTGATGGAAATATTACATCCTGGTTCAGTATTGATAAATTTTGATTCGGTGTGATTTTTCTATAAATTGAAAGAAATAATTTCGTGTTTCAAAATAAAGTTTAAATGATAACACAATGCTTCATCTTAAGTAATAATAAGATAATAGCTTAGTCAACTTTGGGAAAGTGAGTAATTTAAATGAATTAAAATAGAAAGATATAAAAGTCATGTAGTTTACATTGGTGTAGGCCATAAAGGTCCATGAATTCTAGAAGATGATGTTGCAACAATTTCATAATATTTAAGGTGTAGATAAATATCTTATAGATAATGATATAGAAATGTCAATATCTGATCAACTTGAACATGTACATGTGCTCATTGCATAATGCCATCCCTATCAAAACTTCCATATCCATTTCGTGTATTCAAAAATAGCTTTAGGTGAGAACTAGGTGTCCATTTTAAAATAAATTGGCATTACATATTATGATTTTATGATTATATAATATGTAGTGAAACAACTGTACATACTAAAAAGTGAAGATTTTTGGTTGTGAGGGACATTTTATTCATCATGGAGCTGTCCTCATTCAAAGCCTAGGGACAATGGACTTTAATTCTATGTTATATTGATCAGCATTACATGTATCATGTGCATACTGATGATTCACATAACATAACATAATACAGGGTGGTCAAAAAAAACGGCAACCCTAGTTTTTCCTAATATCTTTGTCATTCTAAGGAATAACTCCCTGATATTTTACACATTTGTACATCATTCAATATCCTACCAACCTACCATATTTCATGACCATCGGACTGATAGTCACAATATTACTGCATTTTAAGCAACATACCCCCAGATGGCCACTTTCGGGCTGTCTGAGCTGGTCTGTTATCCAAATGAACTCCATTTTCAACTTGATGCACTGGTGAACTGTAACAATTATGTATTCTTGGGGAGCCAAGCACTTTATGAAGTAGTGGAGAGGCACTTTCACACAGATAGATGCACAGTTTAGTGTGTTCTCAGAAGATTGGGTCCTTTACCTTTGATGATGCTAACAGATATGCAATAACTGTCAACATCAAAGTCAAAGTCCATGATTCCCATGGAGTTCTTGGGGACTTTAGGTGAACCCAGGGTGGTTGAAAGGCAGCAACAGTGGTTCCAACAAGACAGAACCATACCCCATACACCAAATGATGCACAATATTGGCTTTGGGACCACTTCAATGACCACATTATCAGCAGTACAACAGACAATGAATGGGCACCCCATAGTCCAGATAATGGCCCCATTTAATCTTTACCAGTGGGGATACCCAAAAGATAGAGTGTAGGGTAATAACTCCAGAAAGACATTTGACCTCAAAATAAAGATCACATGTGTCATTCAGGCCATACTTGCTGAGGGATGCTGTTATGTCACTGACAGGTTTGGAAAACATGTGCAGGTTTGCCTACAGCACGATATTGGAGAACTGGGGCATCTTGTTTAAAGTGCTGTAAGTTTGCGATTATCTGTCCAATTTTCATGAAATAAGACAGTCTAGTATGAAATTGAATGATGTACATGTGTGCCAAATATCAGGGCAAAATTTCCAAAAATGACAAAGATATGAGGAAAAATTAGGGTTGCCGTTTTTTTTGACCACCCTGTAGTATCTCGGAAATTTGTTAATCTTTCTTTGGAAACACCTTACCTATAGAAGCCAGTTTTGTAACCTTGATTGCGTAGGATTCTCTCACAGAAAGCACATGTTGAGCCTTTCCCTTTTGTGCCACTCACATGTATGATTGACAGATTGTCAATGTCTTGCACCTTAAACAAGAAGACAGAGGTTAATTAGTGAGAAACCATAAAATAACTTGAAGCCACAGACTAGACTCTCTGCGCAGGGTAACCACAACATTTACTTTGATTCAGAGAGGAGAGGGTTAATATGATTGTACCCATAATTTCAGATGGTTAGACTTATAAAAGGATTACATGCCCATGGGTTACAGTATGTACTCTTGTAAAACCAAATTTGTTGGCGATCGCACACCCCATGACTGAAAGCTGGCTATATATTATAAATATATAATATTTACTATTATATATAAATAAAGCCTCTGAGGAACATCAAAGCGCCTATACATTATAATATAGACTCACTGTAACACCTGCTCTTTGAGCAAAGCTGAGGACATCCGGAATGTTATTTTCCTGTTGTTTCCCTCTATCTTTCTTCACTTTTTCTAGAACACTTGCATTTGATTGAAGGGTGTTGAGGGCTTGGACAGCTTCCTGAAGTAAAAAACATCTGTATTTGCATACTAATAGATACTACATTATAGTAAACCCATACACTGACCAAAACATGATGCGATAGAAAATAGTAGTGGAGACTGTTCTTATGGGATGTTATAACATGAAAATATGATGGAAAAATGATATTTGCATACAAAATACAACTGGCGAGTCTTAAAAATACCTTTTCGCCAGTTTGTCTGTAACTTTAGCCAATCCCAGTAATAAAGGAAAGCTATCCAGGAGGTCATTAACGGAAACTTCGTAAAGTTACAAATTAGGAAATCAGTAAGTTGTTGTACTATAACATAACAATAGATGTTTTGACATTATAGTTAGAGAAAAATGGACTTTAATTCTATACTTTACAAAGTTGCTCTAATGGCCCCCAGGTACTCCTTGTTACGTGTTAAAAAGGCAAGAACTTAACTTCGACATATGAGTGTTGATGAATGGGACCCTCACGTGCCTTCCAAATGGTAGTAAACGAACTCCAATGTAACTACATCAGCATGAAAATGGAATGTTTGTTCGATGCTCGGATGTTCGCATTTTATTTAGCTCTCGTAAAATGAACGAACAAACATTCCATTTCCACACATGTTCGGTAATATAACTATCATAACTTCCGGAAATGACAAGCCAGTACGAACATTTTTGGGAATTTTTACAGTTTAATAGTTTACATTTCTTGTATAACAGTACTTATTGTTGATCGGATGGAAAGATAAGCTGATGTTGTTACATTGGAGTTCGTTTACTACCATTTGGAAGGGACTTGAGGGTCCCATTAATCAGGTAACACTCATATGTCGATGTTAAGTTTTTTTAACACGTAACAAGGAGTAACTAGGTCTTAGCATGGGCTTTCTAATTGAAAGCCCATGGTCAGGTCTTAGGCAAGATTATTAGTAGAGTCCATTTCACTGCTTCATTGCGTAAGTAGAACGGCAAAAATAAGAAATTGGGAGACCATTGTGCAATAATATATGGAAAAGTATATTCATAATGTACATGAATGACATATGTATATTTCAGATTTTTTAGTTTTTTGTGCAATAAGCCTGTGCCGTCTTGTAATTTGAAGAATTTCAGCCATGTTAATCTTATTGAAAATAACATGGCAGAGAAGCATCCAAATATAAGAGGCCACACACTTTATAAGCCAAACTAGTCTAGAAGCAATCCAAGATATACAAATGTCATTCATGTTGTATTGCAAAATGATATTTTGATTTCTTATTTTTTTACTGACGCAGTTAAACAGTGAAATGGACTCTAATTATTTAGTAATTGAAGACAAAAATTATGATAGAGTTTAGATCTACATGTAGTACTGTAAATAATGATAAAGATGTGTAACGTCTTGCAGATTGCACATATTGTATTTGCACTTTCGGTTTCGTCTTCGTGACCTACAATTTCAACCAATCATACCCGCTTACACTGAGTGAGTGATCATACCTCGTATGTTTTACTCAGTTCGCCTCCGATCATCGCTGTTTTGAAGGGTTTCCAGCTAAAGTTTCGTACTAGAAGTCTTCCCCAGATGTTCATAATGCTTCGAAATTCACTGTGATAGTAAGCAATTCCATTTGTAACTGACAGACTGCGGTGAAGGCAAGAGCATGCCTTCCTGAAGAGCTAGAATATATTTAGGTTTTAAAAGACAGAGCTGGCGTTGTAGAAACCTCACATAGATCTATATATAAACTCCTAATTATCTCAATACAATTCACACAACAATCTTCAAAATGAGATATATTTCAATATGTATTTATTGTATTGTTTGACATAAGATTAGCTATGACTTGAGTTTATGAAACAAAAGGTAAATATAGATACGAAAATTTAATTCGCCATATCACGTGACTTACGTCAGAGAATCCAAAATGGCGGGGAGTAACAAGTTTGAAAATAAATTGAAGGAACTCGAGGGCCGTTTACAAGCCGAAAATGATTCTAGTCGAAGAGATCGTAGACCTAGGAACTTTGAATTCAAATTGGCTAGTCCTAGACGACAACAACAAAGTAAGAAAATCAATAATGATTCGGAAAACACCGGTAATGCAAAGAATTTTTTTTTGATTTTGATGAAAAAATCATTCATTCAAAATCAAAAAATTCCTCAGGTCATGTCTTGTGTTTTCATCTAATTTCAAAAATTGTACATACTATGCTATACTTCATACATTATCTTATGCACCGACATATATATGTAATGACCCCCGATACAGGCCTCGATAATAAGTCGCTACTTTAGTCACTGTAGTGGCTACCCCTTATGGCTCAGGAGTAGGCCTAGAGCGTCTGACTTGTGAGTGGGGGTTCCTTGGTTCTAGGTTCATACTAGGCATTGACTTTAGCACACTCCCTTTGCATGTCTAGTATCTCGCTTGCTACACTCATGGGCTTTCAACTAGAATTGAAAGCCCATGCTACACTATAGGTCCCCAGACAGACATGCCCCAGTGCCATTACACAAATAACAATTAAATGGCATTATGAGACATCTGGAATGTGTGTCAGATTTTTGTGTCTATTAAACAAAAATAATAAGATTTTGACAATGAATTTATTTGTCACTGCTTATAGCTGAAGTACGTGTGAATTGTTCAATGAAATGAATTTTGAATATGAGCTATGTTTGGACAACCTCCGGAGATTTACAAAAATTTTCGAGCAAAAAATGCTATTGGACTTAGGCAGAAAACTATTCACTCAACTGACAATTATATGTCTTGATCGAAAAGGAAGAACTTCAGCGCTCCAATACTTGCAAGGATGGATGATACTGATGTAGGACACAGTTAGAGAACTTTTATTTAGCTGTCAATTGAGTAGCCAAAATCCTTTGAACTGTACTGTCACATAACATGAACTTGGTATTTTTGAATGGCTTACAATTATTTATAGTGTGGAATTTATTCATAGTTTAATGAGAAATGAAGTGAATGTTGTATATCAAACATAACTTGTAGTTGTAGTCATATCATGGGCTTTCAATATTCTATTGAATGCCCATGGTCATATCAGATGCCTAGATCTTATTTGACAAAAAGCTCATCCTTATCTATGAATACATTAGACATGCAAGATTTACACAGATCCACAGTCAAATTTTCATACAGGGTCTTGCAAGAAAATTGTTGCCATTAAAAGATATCGATTTGGGGTTAAGAAAACAAAAAAAAGGTTAATGTACACTGCAAGGGAAGGGAGCGGCGAAACTAAACCCCCCCCCCCCCCTGCTTGAAAAAACTGCTAGAGAGATCACTGTTTAGTGTCCCATATTATTTATTGAGTGTTAATTTTTCTTCAGAATGCATGAATAACTAAAAAATTAAGTGGTCTATTTTTCAAAATTGCAAAAAATGTGTTTTTACTTTTATTTCATGTTTGACAGGACACTTTTATGAGTGTATACTAAATAATGGTAGGTAAATTACAGTTATTTGATTGTCAAAACCTCATTTTTTATTTAGGTTTGATAGATACACATTCCATTTGTCTTGTGCAATACTTACATTATGGTACTTTCTTATGTCCAGAAATTTTATTAGCTTCTTATTTGGTACAATGTACAAACATATAAATTCTCTTTTTTATATATATATATATATTTAATCTTTACTAATCTAGGTGTTATTAATGTGCTTAACTGAAAAACCATGCATGGATGATGCACTGCAGGTTATTATTGTAATGCGAGAAAAGACCAGATGGCATTGGGTCATAATAGTTGTTATGTTACCATTATGCATATCAGTACATACTTTCATAAGATCTATACATCCACAGAGATGTTGACAAGTTTGTCCATCGAAGATAATAACCCTGATAAGGTCCTTCCCAAAATCGAATTGTTGAAAAGCTGTCCATTTACAATCTGTTTATGGGGAATATTTCCTTAGAAAAACTCCAAGATAAATCGTTGGCACCTGAAACCTTCGTGCAGAATGGCTATGACCCCAACTTACTTACGATAAAATACCAGTCTGAAAAAATCACTCGCCTCGATATTGACAAAAAATATTTCAATTTTGATCGACTGCGAGAGCAAAATTCAAGTTGAGCTAAAAAAAATTGTTCAGTGTGAAATGGACTTTGTTTTAAATAACTAGTTTTGCACTCGATAGAGTCTCGGTTTTAGATCTCTTTTTGGTTACGTCACCTGGTGACTGTCAATTATTCTGTGAAAATGCAAAATCAAAACTATGTAAAAGAAACATTGTCACCTATTGTTGATTGCTTGAGTTAAATTGATAGTTTCAAACTAAGAAGAGAAATTTTAAACTCCCCTTGATGTGTACTTTATAACTACAGGGTGGGCCAAAAAACGCCACTTTTTTCAAAATACTATAACTTTTAATTTTTGATCCAAAATCATAATTTGCATACCAAATGAAACTCGACGATGCAATCTATCCATGGATTATAAATTGTACAATTTTACTTGAATAAAATATGTCACCAGCATCTCACTTAAACATGTGGTGTGCCATGAGAAATGAATACAATTTGAAGGTAGTAGTCCTGATGTAAACCCAAGTGAGTAATGAGTATAGGGCATCTCAAAAATTGCTCAACTAAAGCTGGCAATTCAGACTGGTTGAAAGAAACTTGTCAATATTTTATTGATACTGCTGGTGACTCAGAGACTTAAAACTATCATCAAAGAGGGTGGCAGACTAATTGAAAACTCTCCTTTTAGATCAAACACAATCCAAGTTGAAGGACTTTTTATATTATATTATCACATACTATGTATAAATCTAGTGATTTGATTGGTTGCTTTCTATGACATATTTCCCGTATCACATGAATTTCATATGATACGAGCACACATACCACACGTTGTCTATGGTAACGAAATGACGTCATACAACTTCATTCTATTCTTTCCTAATTCAAAATGACGTCACATATAGGCTATGTTACTATGTCTTAGAAATGATGAATTCATCATTTGAGGAACTAGAAGTTAGAACGACAGAGAAAGCTACCAATCAAATCACTAAATTTCTACATAGTATGTGATAAAATCGTCATCACACGTTTCAGCGTATGTGATATGGGAAATATTCCACTTAGTAAAAAAGTATCACCACTCAAGCTGCGCTTTCGTGGTTATACAATTTTTACTTTCGTGGAATATTTCCCATATCACATGCTGAAACGTGTAATAACTGATATTATTACCACCTTGCCGGGCCAGTCCTAGGGGTTTTAGTGCTAGTTTAAAAGGCATTAATTTTACTATATCGACCTGAGAAATGTGTGATGTCATAGTGGTGGTCCATATGGACCGGTCTAGAATATATTCTGGACCAGCAATTTTCCCCGGGAAATTAGATATCGTTCAGTGCATAAGATTTTCTTGCTTTTCAGCCCTGGTCGTTAACGGTGGTAATAATACTAATAACGTCATTTCTGCGAGCAATATAGTGAAATAATGGTCCTTGGGCCTTCGGCCCTCGGACCAATATTTCACTATATCGCCCTTAGAAATGACGTTATTGTACTATTATTACTTTGAACCCTTGGCACTATACCTCGCTGTATATCTATATATATAAGCTGTATATCTGCAAAATTTGGTGTATTTACATGTAGGTTGGAAAATGAAAAAGTTATAGTGGCGTTTTTTGGCCCACCCTGTATATCCTCATTTTGGTGATACATATCGATACTTATGGTTCATATGTGTAAATATTATAGATATTATGAATATTCTTCCTTTAATTGTTACAATATCAGTTGGTTTTCCAGATTTTACAGATTTTGCTCAACAGGGACGGGCTGGCTCTGCCCCACCCTCAGCACGCAATCGGGCAGGTTTCACACTACCGTGTTCTCCACAGTCTCCAAAACCACCAGACAGGTAACTTACTTTGAACCCTTGGCAAAATTTGGTGTATGTAGGTTAGAAAATGAAAAAGTTATTGTGGTGTTTTTTTGACCCACTCTGTAGGTTCATAGCCATTCAACCAAGCCGAAGAAAAGTATGTGTAAATAGTATAAATATTATGACAGGTAACTTAGGGGAGAAATGATAAAAGGATTTAAAATGTCTCAATCATAGGATTTACAATTTATGGAATTAGCTCTCAGTTTTTAGAGAAGATTAGCAATTAGCTCTCAGTTTTTAGAGAAGATAATTGACAGTCTGGGAAAAACTATATAAAACTATCAATGATTTTCACTGACCTGCTGTAATTTTATGCACACATGACAAAGGAGGAGTGAAAGTATCGCAACAGATTTCGGACAGTCATATGTTAGATTTTGACTATTTTCTGAGGATTTAAACAGGTGCATATGTTAGGCCAATGCATTATCTCCAGGAAAAGCACTCATAGAGATTAGAGATGATAAGATAATTTTGACTTTGAGACAGGGGAGATGCAAACAACCTAACCACATATTTTTTCTGAAATGTTGTCCTGATTTTCAACCCCTTCCACCCCTGCTTTTTCAATTTTTGTTGCTTCAGTGTGTTGCGTTTCAAGACACAGTTAACCCCTTTAAATGAATAAGTAATTCCTCTTCGATAAAGTGGAAAACAATATTTCCTATGTTATTTTCCCATAGGCAAAAGTCATGCGATCCATTGCTTTAAGCTTATTTTGGTCACCCATAATGGCTATCTTTAAAACCCCTGAAGGAACTACTTAAACTCCTTTAGGGGAGGCATCAAAAGATCAATGTCTGATAGAAAACTAAATAAATCTAGTTTGGGGGAGGGGGTCAAAGCTATTTCAGTTTGCTATCCGACAAATTTCAACTTTTAATTTTTTTGCAATTTCGACCCAAAATGCCTTGGAATGGTTTAAAAATAAAGACTTTACCAGGTGCCCTCTTCGCCAAGATGCATGCAACATGGAATATTATGCCTATTGTTGTTGGCACATGTTTTAAGAATCATAATAAGTTATAGTACTACCCCCATGAAAGTCCAAATTGAGTCGCTAAAACATGTGAAAAGTCCGCGATCAACTTTCATTGTATTTAGTTTTGAGGGGGAGGGGGAGGTCTAACTCAAAACTAGATTTATTTAGTTTCCTATCAGACATTGAACTTTTGATGCCTCCCCTTAAATCGGTCAGTTGTGTGTCAAAATGCAAGATATTGATGCATCAAAAATTGAAAAAGCAGGGGTGGAAGGGGTTGAAAATCAGGACAACATTTAAGAATAAACATGTGGGTGGGTTGTTTGCATCTCCCCTGTCTCAAATTCGAAATTATTTTACCATCCATATGAGTGCTTTTCCTTTTAGAAAATGAAAAAGGTTATAGTGGCATTCTTTGGCCCACTATGTAGGTTCATAGCCATTCAACCAAGCCGAAGAAAAGTATGTGTTAATAGTATAAATATTATGACAGGTAACTTAGGGGAGAAATGATAAAAGGATTTAAAATGTCTCAATCATAGGATTTACAATTTATGGAATTAGCTCTCAGTTTTTAGAGAAGATTAGCAATTAGCAATTAGCTCTCCGTTTTTAGAGAAGATAATCGACAGTCTGGGAAAAACTCCAGATAAAACTATCAATGATTTTCACTGACCTGCTGTAATTTTATGCACACATGACAAAGGAGGAGGGAAAGTATCGCAACAGATTTCAGACAGTCATATGTCAGATTTTGACTATTTTCTGAGGATTTAAACAGGTGCATATGTTAGGCCAATGCATTATCTCCAGGAAAAGCACTCATAGAGATGATAAGATAATTTTGACTTTGAGACAGGGGAGATGCAAACAACCTAACCACATATTTTTTCTGAAATGTTGTCCTGATTTTCAACCCCTTCCACCCCTGCTTTTTCAATTTTTGTTGCATCAGTGTGTTGCGTTTCAAGACACAGTTAAACCCTTTAAATGAATAAGTAATTCCTCTTCGATAAAGTGGAAAACAAAATTTCCTATGTTATTTTCCCATAGGCAAAAGTCATGCGATCCATTGCTTTAAGCTTATTTTGGTCACCCATAATGGCTATCTTTAAAACCCCTGAAGGAACCACTTAAACTCCTTTAAATCGGTCAGTTGTGTGTCAAAATGCAAGATATTGATGCATCAAAAATTGAAAAAGCAGGGGTGGAAGGGGTTGAAAATCAGGACAACATTTAAGAATAAACATGTGGGTGGGTTGTTTGCATCTCCCCTGTCTCAAATTCGAAATTATTTTACCATCCATATGAGTGCTTTTCCTGTAAGTAATGCATTGACCTGTATGCACCTGTTTAAATCCTCAGAAAATAGCCAAAATCCAACATATGACTCCCCGAAATCGGTTGCACAACTTTCCCTCCTCCTTTCTTATACAGACAAAATGCTTTATCAGATACATACATGTACATTGTATAGATGTTTCTTACTTAAAATTTAAAGGCAATCTATAACTGTTCACAGTATTTATTTAAGTAATGATTAATTTTTCAGTGGTGAAATAGAGCAGAAATATCAGGAAATTATGAAACAGTCTGGTCTTCTGACTATAAACACACAGGTAGGACAACTACTATGTACTAGATAACCACTAGAATTTTTATGAATTTTGTTAGATTGAGCACATTTTTATTTGATAAAACCTAACACCTGAAGTACTTTAATGTAAATCTACACATTTCTTTTAAAGATCACATAATCCATGCAATAGAGCACATAATGTGACAAGAGTTACCAGTTTTCACTAAAATGTCTTGTAATTTCCTACTAGGTACAAATAAATTCCCATTTCCCATTGCAAATGTTATCTTTATCCTCATTCTAGAGAGTACAGACAGATATTGCAAATCTAGAAGTTTGTGGAGAACTAGGGCATGGGACATGTGGACATGTTATGAAGATGCGACATAAACAGACCAATCATCTAATGGCAGTCAAAGTAAGTGGAGCTATTTTGATATTTTAAATGTCTGCATGTTTCTATACATATAAATATATTTCATTGTGATTATGCATATTTATTGATGATTTAATCACAGATACTAGAATTCTGTGCTACAAAATGTAAAATTCTGCAAGAAAAAATCAAAATTTTGCTAACCAAAATGTGAAATTCTGCAAAAATTCTGCATTTTATTGCAGCATTTTTTCATGGCATTTTGTCGAAATAGTGTGAAATCAAAATAAAAGTGCCATATTTTTCTGTCTAATGTAACAACAGATATACAGTGCGTCCCAAAAACTGCAACAAATGAAAATGTTGTAAAAAGGCCAATGATAGGTCTAATGATAGTTTATTAAGTATTTGGTGATTGTTTCACTGAGATGAGACATTTTTAAAGGTTTATTTATATAGTTCTATGTAAGTTCATCTCTCTGGTTAATATATCAGAAACAAGTCAAATTCTTTACTTCAGAGAATATATATATATATATTTTTTTTTTTTTTCTCTGAAGAATTTGACTTGTTTCTGATTTATTTATATAGTTATAAGTAAGTGGATTGAGCAATAAATGGTCCTGAATCAAGAAGCCTCATTTTCTGGTAGACACACCACAATTCACGATTTCCACAAAATATTTCCTGCCTGATCATATCAAAAACATGTGCATGTAATTTTATATTGTCATGTTTGCCATATTTGTATTTCAGCAAATGCTAAGGATTCTTTATTTCAACAAGCTAACATGATATATTGATATTTCAGCAAATGCGGCGGTCAGGCAATCGCGATGAAAATAAGCGAATTATAATGGACTTGGATGTTGTTATAAAGAGCCATGACTGTCCATATATAGTGCAATGTATAGGAACTTTTATAACTGATGTAAGTATAGAAATCTCAAATGAAAATCATTTATAATTTGAAGAAATGAGGAAGATGATCCTTTTGAAAAATCTTTCAAGTAATTCATAGAACTTTATTCAATGATATATCCATGCTCTTTATAAGTTTGAATAGATTTAAAAGACAGTCCAGCCTCACAAGTGAAACAAAAACAGTAAATGTTTTTAGATACGCTTACTTCACTTTCACATCTAGCCCAAATCTAGCAGTTATCAAGGTTCAGAGCTAGTAGTACTGTATAATTTGGTGAAAAACAAATACACTCTGCCTTGTATTAACATAACATTGTACATTTTTCAGAGCGATGTCTGGATTTGTATGGAATTAATGGAGACGTGTTTTGACAAATTATTAAAAAGATTACAATCACGAATCCCAGAAAAAATCTTAGGAAAATTAACTATTTCAGTGAGTATAATGTAAAATTGTTGGTTATATACAAATTCAGTAAATTGGTATTAAAATGTCTACAGTAGTCTTTGTGAAATTTTAGGCATAGAATGGAGAATCAGATATAGAAGCATAATGTAATAATTAATTAATCATTTTTATTTTTCAGACTGTTAGGGCTTTAAATTATTTAAAAGAAGAACACGGTGTAATACATAGAGGTATGTATTGTATTCCTCTACATCTGAATTTTAAAAAAGGCTGTCAGTTAGATATGAATGACAATTTTGGAATACATTGATATTTTTTTTCCTGGAATGTGTGATTCATGCTAATTTATATATAAACTGCATTGTTCCCAAATTTGATTCTGGGTTTATTAAAACATTTGCAGATTTGTCTTCTTGACTCTTCAAACAATTTGAAGAGATATCTCTTTTTAAATGCTTATTGATTATTTACAAGTTCATATTGAAGGCTTCAAGTATTATAGGGTACCTTCAGTAGCTTGGCTGATAAAACTAATACATACACCAGCTTTTATGTCCAAATGATTCAAATTATGCAAAAATTTTGACCTGAGTCAAATACGATCTCTTTTGCCATCAAACATCAGTTTAAGAATTTAAAAAGGACTTTACGCCTGGTTGAAAAGCCATTTGGACCAGTTGGGATATTTTTTGATCAGTTTTGGACATTTGTCAAGAATGTGTATAGGTAAAATGGGAAGGAGAGGTCCTAGGAGTGATGTGCTGTGTATTGTCTTCCATAAGACCCTGGACCCCGCTCCCTGTTGCGTTGGTCAAGGTGAAGTACATATAGTAGTATACTATAGTATATACACCAAGACTGTGTGTATAATAGTCTTCTTTTCTATTCCAGATATTAAACCTTCAAATATTCTAATAGATATGCGGGGTACAATCAAACTTTGTGACTTTGGAATCAGTGGGAGACTTGTTGATTCTAAAGCAAAGACTAGAAGTGCAGGGTGTGCAGCATATATGGCAGTAAGTTAATCTAACAAAAAGTGATTTTAATTGGGCATTTGGTGATTGATATGTGACATTGTGTTATTCCTATAAAGCAGTATGTGATATAACTGAGACAGTCGATGATTGTGGAATATTTTTATGTGAATTGAAGTAATTTTTGGTGACATTTGGTAATTGGGAATTGTAATTTGACTGTAGATGATTGTAACACAACATTATGTGTGTGTAACACAACATTACGTGATTGTAACACAACGTTATGTGATTGTAACACAACAGTTGGTGATTGTAACACAACAGTTGGTGATTATAACACAACAGTTGGTGATTATAACACAACAGTTGGTGATTATAACACAACAGTTGGTGATTATAACACAACAGTTGGTGATTGTAACACAACAGTTGGTGATATGTTCCATCAATAAATTGCTCAGTCTCCCCCTTTTGCAGTCATTTTTAGAACTGTGGTAGATCTACAGTAAACTGTATTCTTTTATGAAATCTTCAAAAGATTTAAAGTTTCAACATCCCATCAAACAAAGTGTTGAAAAATGGCAGTCAGTTTTATGTGTGCATTTTACATTGTTGCTAAAGCTGGAAAAGTAGTACAGTATTTTTGTTGTTTTAAGTATTAAGTTTTATGTGTGATTACTTGAGCATTACTTAGTGATTTTGACTTTACATGTGTATTCTTCCAAGCATATAACAGTCAATTTGGTTAATAGGCCGCTATTCCAAAAAATGCCAGCCATGGTTGTTTGATGCGATTTGCTATGCCTTGGCGTTGCTGTTATCTAATTGAAATTGTTTCTGTTTTTAGCCTGAAAGAATTGACCCACCAGACCCCAACAGACCCGATTATGACATTCGTGCAGATGTATGGAGTCTAGGAATCTCATTGGTATGATAACATTTGAAAACATTTTACATAGTCTAGCTTTAAAGGGACATTCCTGGCCAGACCATTTCTATCCTGATATGGTAGCCTTAATCATATTTATGCTTTCTATATTAAGCAAAACATGGGAAAATGTTTAAATATTGTCAATATTGATCATTTAAAAAATGTAGTGCTCATTTCCAGTAAGCTGCCATCTTTTAAGATTTCACTCAGGAAGTGATGTCATCAACTCTCAACTTTCATGACCTTGCATGTAACAGTATAGGGAAGTAGCACAAAATCGCTTCTAGACAAGTGGTTCTTACTTTATGTACAAAAATATTTTCGGAGCTTGTCAGTTTAGAATAAAAGAAGAGACTCTTAAAAGGATTAAATAGTAGACAAATTTGAAAAATAATATTCAGCTGGTTTTGTAATTCTTAGTAGCTCCTTGCCTAATATTATATACAAAGATGAGAGTCGATGACATCACTTCCTGAGTGAAATCTTAAGAAGATGGCAGCCAACTGGAATTGAGCACTACATTTTTAAGTGACCGATGTTGACCATATTAAAATCTTTTTCCCACAGTCGGAGAGAATGTTCTGGCAAAAGGAGTTATTGATATCTATCTCGTTCGAAGAACGTATTAGATGTCCGTGATTTTTCCATGTTCTGCTAAACATGGTAATTATACATGTGGTTGTAGCTACCATATTAGAAGAGAGATGGTCTGGCAAGGAACATTCCTTTAAGCTCTTCTGACAGATGGGGTCACAGAGGCTTGTAGCGAGACTGCATTTCACATGGCTTTATGGTTGTTCAAATTTTAAACCATATATTTGATTTTAAGACAACCATGACATTTTTACAAAATATGTAAAAAGGTACATGTACAGGGTGTTAAAAAATCGCAACCCAAAGAAATCGCTATATCTTGAAAAATACTGGTTCAATTATGTTCATATTTTCAGGAAAGAAAGAAGAGACTGTGTATGTATAGCTCCTGTAGATGGTTAGTTGTAAAATGTGATGCCTTGGACACCTGCTCAAAAGACAGTTATACTAGGAAAATACAAAAACCGAAGTCAGGGATGACACCAACCGCAAAAAACTAAATACCTTCCCAAACATAGTGTTTTGGCTGTTCAAATTTGGCACAAATCATCTTCATTCACTGTATGGTAAATCTGTAGAGTGAAATCAAAATCACTTCACGGACTTTACAGTCATGGCCGAAATGCTTTCAAATCGCAGTCAAACGCCCTTGTTCAGGCAGACTTAAGAAGGCATTTTGACCATGACTGTAAAGTCCCTGGAGTGATTTTGATAAAACTCCACAAATGCACCACTCATTGAATGAGGATAATTTGTGTCAAATTTGAAGGGCCAAAACACTATGGTTAAAAAGTTATTTGGTTTTATTGCTGTGGCAGTCACCTCTGACTGCATTTTTCGTATTTTCCTAGTACAACTCTTTTGGGCAGGTGTCCAAGGTATCATGTTTTACAACTAACTAACAACAGGTGGCTATACATTAAGTATCTTCTTTCTTTCCTGAAAATATGAACACACTTGGATAAGTATTTTCCAAGATATAGCAATTTCTTTGGGTTGCGTTTTTTTTGAACACCCTGTATATTGAATTAATTTGAATCTGACAAAATTGGTACATCCATTTCAACAGAGAAACCAAGATGAACCAAGATAGATAGATACCTGGTAAATAAGTAACAAAATATTAAAGTGATTTTCAAAGACTTATTGAGGCTAAAATTAGGGATTTCAAGAAATACTCAAGAAAATAGTCTTACCTTTCTTCCACAATATATTTTCTTTATCTTATTTTATTTAACACAGTGTCATATTTCTTTCTTTTGGGGTTTTTATAATATTGGTAAAATTTGAGTCTGAGTTTATAATACAAAGTCAAGCATGGACTATTCATCTAAGGATAATAACTTTTAATCAGCCGAAATAGGAATATAATCATACCACACTTCATTTTTTGTAAATGTGAAGTATGGTATGACCCAAATTTCAGAATTTATTGTATCGAATATTTTCAGGTTGAACTGGCAACTGGGATGTTCCCATACAAAAACTGCAAGACAGACTTTGAAGTTCTAACAAAAATTTTAGATGAAGACCCTCCATTGCTACCTCCTCACTCTGACTTCTCTATGGACTTTTGCTCATTCGTACAAGACTGGTAAGTTGCTCATTTATTTTAAGTCAACAAAAGTTCATTTAAAGTCAACAAAAGTTCACCTAAAGTCAAGAAAAGTCCATTTAAAGTCAACAAAAGTTCATTTAAAGTCAACAAAAATTCATTAGAAATGTCTAGCGTTTTTTACGTCAAAGGTTTTTGCAAAATATGTCTCTATCCAATATTTTGAAATGGTCAGAATTGATTACAATATTTTCTATGTGGCATTATTTATTTCTGTCAAGCCTGCAGTTATATGGTTGGCCAAAACCTGGTCACATGTCATGAAAATTAGACAATGGATTAATTATCTAACAATATTCACCATTCCTGGTAGTTTTCAAAATTAATTTTATTTATTCAGTGAAGTATCAAAATTATAATTATTTAATTAGTTATGTACAATTAGTAATAAACAGAAGTTTTAACTCTATTCAATGATGATTCAATGTTTACACATGGGAATAAATCGTACTGAGGAATGTGAGTTTGACAGTAATATGATAAAATAAAATTTTAGTTGAATATCTGTGACACTTTCACAAGATGATATTGCACTAGTTCTTCGAGCTATATATCACATGTGAAAGATGCATGCATGTATTCATGTCAATAGAGACACATTTTTATAGCATTTTATCCAACAATTCAAACAAATTATTATATATGGAGGAATATGGAGACAAAAGTAATTTATAAAGAAAGGAATGTGACCTTCCGTGAAATGCAGATTAGACAAATCTCTTACGAATCTGAGATACATGTGAAAAAGGAAAAACTACTGTTTTTTCTCTCATTTGTTCATCTATATCCTCCCACCAATAAAATATTCAGGGTCCATTTTAGGAACATGATGTGATCGCTCATTTCAGGTATATTTAATTAAGTACAGAAGTTGTTGCATAGATTATGATCCCAGAAAGGAAAGTGCACTTTCCATTATGAATTCCCCATGAACAAAATGAATTGTTTTTAGGTGTAATATAAAGAATACAATGTCACATAATACTTTGGAAAATATTTAAGCGTTTGGACCCACATGGGCTGAGGTTGCGGTCATTAAGTTCAGCAAGGGTGTATTGACTTGACATTGGATGTATTCTATTGACTTAACATGTGGATATCATCAGATTCCAATGGAGGCTGTGCTGTACCATAATATTATACGAGGGTTGATCATAAAGTTCTCATAATATGTCTCTAATTTCTTTATTTTTCAATATATTCTAATGAAATTTTCACAGAATGTGCAGCATAGAATGCCTTATTAATTAAGCAAAAAGTATTTAGTTTAACTGAAATATTAAATAAGAAATGGTTACCATAGTAACTAGAAATCAAGGCACCCGGGGCAAATAAAAGTAATTGAGAGAATGAGCTTAATCAACAATGTATACATACATAATAAACTCTCATGAATTACCAAACACGTTAAAATTTAAACTTGAATATGTTGTAAAGTGCTTTAAGAATTAAATAAATCGATCATGTAAATTGTGTGATGTCATAGGGGTGCTTTCATGCTCCATTAGATGTGATACCAATGTCTAAGACGCAAAGCTAATGATCAGAAATGACTGAGTAAGAGGATGCAAAAGAAGCAGACATCTTCAGAAAAATAAAAATCATACTGATAAAATGTTATGTTAAGTTTGTAAGATCCTTTGGTCAGACTAAACATGATCTAAAACAAATATATTGCTAAGATATCAACAAAATTACACCCTGTGTGTGATCTGTACATGTTAAAAATGAACTAAAGGGGCAAAATCAATTTTTCTCAGGATGTTTGACAAAAGAGTCATGGGGTCTAACAGTCACTTCAAATGAAGCATAACAATCATCCATTATGAGATCACACAATTCACATGACCATTATAATAGTTCACAACAGTTAAGAGGCCATATTATTTGACAATTTAATGTGTTTGATAGCTGGGGGCTATTCGAGCTAGTTTTTTTTTATTTGCCCCGGGTGCCTTGATTTCAAGTTACTATGGCAACCATTTCTTATCTAATGTTTCTGTTATTCTAAATATTGTTTGCTTGATTAATAAAACATTCCATGCTGCACATTCTGTGAAAATTTCATTTGAAAATATTGAAAAATAAAGAAATAAGAGAGATATTATGAGAACTTTATGATCAACCCTCGTATAACAACATTATTTTGTACATGATGTTACGTCTGTTTAATTATCAATGGTATTTCTTCTATAATAAATTATCAATGGGATTTATGAATGGCCTTATATAGTAAAAGAACAATTCATGACTTGTTATATATGTTTCAATTAACCTAATTCTGAAACCCACCTATTCTTTCTCTGATCACACGAACTTGAACTTCACTGTATGAAGTGCGATTCATGTCACACATATAACAACATTATTTTGTACATGATGTTACGTCTGTTTAATTATCAATGGCATTTCTTATGTAATAAATTATCAATGGGATTTATGAATGGCCTTATATAGTAAAAGAACAATTCATGACTTGTTATATATGTTTCAATTAACCTAATTCTGAAACCCACCTATTGTTTCTCTGATCACACGAACTTGAACTTAACTGTATGAAGTGTGATTCATGTCACACATATCATGATTAAACTAATAATACAGCCATAACATTCATGTACATTTTAATTATTTTCTCATTGAATAAATATGTGAGTAATATCTGGTAGAACTCTAACTGCAGTTAGCAATCATTCAAGATGGTTGCTGAGATTCTTTTGTTTTTAGATAAACCCCTGATTTCCGCTAAACTAAGTTGAATCTTGATTCCAAGAATTTTGCCACGCAAATTAATAAAACCACGATTGTATTCAACCAAAATGAATGCCCAAAGACCTGCAATATTAGAGAATTTTAAAGAAAACGGCTTCACTTAGAATGACTCTAACTGAAGTTGATGATGTACATCATCATGACGTCATCATCAATTTCAGTTAGAGTGATACTAAGTGAAGCCATTTTCTTTACAATTCTCCAATATCGCGGTTGTTTGAGCATTTATTTGTAGTTATTTACCATCGTAGCTTTATTAATTTGAATGGCGAAACATTTGGAATCCAGATTCAACTTAGTTTAGCTGAAATCGGAGGTTTATTGAAAACGAAAGAATTTCGGCAACCATCTTGAATGAAGCTAACTGCAGTTAGAGTCATCCAGCTGTGAAACAGTGATTATGTACTTTTGTTATTAAAATGTCACCATCATGACCATGGATGGAACATTCTAATTCTCATAAGATTGTCTATTAAGCATGCACTTATTAAAGTATTGAATAATCTGAATATGATACTTCTTTGACAATCACAACATCATTAAAGTCCCCATATAAAGTTTAAACCACTTATATTGTAGTCTTACCCAATGTTATCAAAGTGTTATGTGAAACTTTTTATTTTATTTCAAAATGTGTTTTTTAAAGGACTTTTTGTTCGGAATATCCTGAATTTATCTAAAACTAACTTTTAGAGGTCACTCATATATTTTAATAAGCCATAATTCATACCAATGCATAGCATTCATCCTCACATGTTTTTTGCCGAGAAAATCAAGAAAATTGGCTCATAAACAAGCAAGAAATGAACTCATCAATGCATGAAAATGGCATAAATAGAAAAGATTGACATAGAAAATTTTTCAACTTTTTCAAAAAGTTTTTGCCACCTGAGTGAGTCATAATAACATCACTTAGATTGCAAAATATTTTTAATATGTTAAGTAACATTGAAGTGGGATTAAACATTAACATTAAATATGGCATTTTATTATTGAAATAATGTGTCCTTTGTTCAATCTTTGCATTGGTGTAAAAAGATAATCTTTTTTGAAATGTATGGACAAATATTTGATGATTAAAAAAACTTCAGCTTTTTTTTGAAAAATGGCGGGAAATTTGAATATTTGAGAAATGAAAAGCTCACAACTTTTTTCAAAAATCTCTAAAATATCTTTTAAAGTCATGACAAATAGTAAATGAATGATAAAAAAATATTTTCAAACTTTACATGAGGACTTTAAAGCAACTGAAAGAGGGAGGGAAAGCATGACTCAGTGAGATCAATAGTGCAACAAGCGATTTTCACCGGTTGTTTTCATAAAATCTCCTGTTTTCCATGTTAAATTTATGATTTCTATTCATTAATTTAACCTGATGTTTTCAGTTATTTAGCCTGTTGTGAAAATTCTTGTAAAACCAATGTTCATGGAACGAAGCGTGAAAATTTTCCTATATCTTCGATATACATTTATCTTTGATTTAAGAGCATAAGATGTTTTTTGGTCTGACAAACTCAACATCATTAAAGCAACTTATAGAGAGAAGGAAATCATGACTAAGTTATATCATGTAGAAATATTACAAATTCAAATTTGTATACATGTTAGATAAGTTCTTAAGCTGATTAACTTTTGGACAGCCATCTTGTTTCTAGTTGCCATTTTACTTCTTATTTTCAATAATCTTGTCATTGTCATGCAAGGAAAATAACTCAACATATTTTCTTCATATTTGTCACATTATTACAAATTGCCAAGTTGGTCATCTTTTTGGTAACTATTTTAGAATTTTTTTGATAAATCAAGCTTTCCTGTAAAACCTACTTCAACATTTTCTTCAAATTCATGTTTACTTGGTTGTGATTTCATTCCTGGCATGTACCCTTTTATTTAACATTGATCAGGTAGTATAGTTTATGACTATAGCAGTATGTCTATAGATGTCAGGTCCAAATGGGATGTTTATTACTCCCTTTGCTTTTGATATTTATGTAAATGTTCCTCTTTAAACACAACTCCATCAATCAAAAAACAATTCTTTTCTCTTTATAATTCTGTTCTCACATAAAAAATAACTCAATATCAAGCTGTTTCTCTATTATTTTTTGTATTTTTACCAGCTACACTTTATGCAATGTATTAAATATGACAGACCTCTAAGTCCCTTCAGGTTTTTATGCTGTTAAATTACGACATAGGTTAAAGTAGTATCTATTCAGATAACTTCAACATTTGTACACATTGCCCACTTTTAATCTGACTTAATGGTGATATCAAATTTTATATGGCATAACAATATTTGCACAAATATGTGTTTATCAGTGATGAGTGCATGTCGGGTAACCATTTTCTAATAGCAATATTAGTAAGAGTTATAACAGTTACTTATTCTGAGGCACTAGTAAATCATAATTTTAATTTGACTTCTCCCTCATTCTAGTTTTTACCTCAATCCATTACTTGATTGAGAAGCCAACACAACACCCAAGAAGGATTTTAATTACCTAAGTGATTTTGTGCCATTGTGTCATTTTAAAAAGAGTCATTTTGATCATTTATATCAGGTTCCTACACTATGTTTGAAAGAAGGGTCAGGTTGCTGAGCCTTGCAATTAATCCATCGCCTCATCATTTTTCGAGTCCATCAACAAGAGTAAAATGTGATTGTCATTGGCAATGTCCTGCAACCATGACATTTAAAGTATTCCATTGAAATTGTCTACATGCAAATGCCAATGAAATCCAGACTGACTGTAGAAAACTGACCTTTAAAACAAATATCAGATCTAGCAGAAAATTTTGGTGCATATCATTCCTTGACATGTCTATTTCTATAAATCCCTAAAGTGAATACTAGCATTTGAGTAAAACTAAATATTTTTGTGATTATGCATTCATGTTTCTATTTTTATAATTTTGAAGAAAGATTTTCCCCCTTTTTGCACTTTGTAACTTAAAACAACTTCACTGATTGTCCCTTTATTATCTTCACTATACCCAGAAATGTATTGTTCATTGTTATGTCACCACTTGTTGAGGTCTTCATCTTTTTGTGTACGGTGTCCAAAGATGGTTGGTTTTAGCAGTCTGAATTCCATGACTGTAAAAAGGCAGGTGGTGAAATTTTGCATGTATGCCCTGTTGTAAAATATTATCTAACTATTTGCATTGTATTTCAGTTTAACTAAAGACTACAGAAGGAGGCCAAAGTATAAGAAGTTATTGGTAAGTCAAAATCAAATTTACACTTTTTAAAAATTGCTTGAATAATGGATTAAGATATTCATATATTTTACAGCATTATGCTAAAGTATAGAAGAAGTATTGGAATTTACCGCTCTGTGGGGCTTTTTTGAGTTTTCTTTAACATGAGTGATATTGTACATCAAGTATATCAAATACTGTTCACATTTTGGCGGTCACTTACATGTCATTTAGCAGCCTTTAACAATTTGGTAGATCTGCCAAATTAAGATGGCTGCCAAATTAAGTTGAAGTACAGTATGTAAAAGATACATGCATATTTTAAATGTCTTGCTATTTCAGGAACACAACTTTATCAAGAGGTATGAGATCACATTTGTTGATGTATGTGCTTGGATTGCTACTGTAATGGCAAAGACACAAAGCCCACGATATAACTCTAGTTAAAATCCCTAAATAGAACTAAATTAAAGAATCCTCGTTGAAAACTATTTATGAAAGAATCCATGATACAATATAGATAGTTCAAAAAGATACAATGCTTACTGGAGCAAAAAGTCAGAACCAGCTCGTCGCCTCTAATAAGGAGCCACACAAGTAGGTTAAACCCTGGACCCATCACATCACGCCTGGTATTCTAACAACAGCACAGTTGCTACTGAACAAAATGTATCCCCATTTAGAATACATATTTTGATTATTTCTACAATATACGAGAGGTGATTTGCGCTATATATCTAAAAACCTGTAATAATGACTAGATTTGGGTGTGTGATGCCACTACTTTTTGTGTAATCAGTGCAAAAGTTACTAGTTATTTGGAAAACATGTACAATAAACATTGTTCAAAACATGTTCAATAAGTATTGCTAATTTGGCTATAACTTTTGTTCTCTTGTTTCTTCATGAAACTTGCACAACATAAGTAACACATATCTGACCATATGCTACTAAAATTACTTGACTTTCAACTTAATTTTGAAAAAGTAATGGTTACTATGGTAATCATTGTCATGGGTATGGGGGCGAAGGTCTGACATCACTTTTGAAAGACATTTTAAGTGTTTTAAGCAGTTTCATATATTACTGTTTAATGATTGGGTATACAGTATAGTTATAAATAATATATTGCAGAGGCAATTCCTGACCCTTTGAAGTGTGTCGCTAGGGAGGTGTTAACTGCAGACATCTGCTGATTGAGATTCTGGTAGAATATTCCTCTCAGATGCACTATACACATTTTTTAAATCATTGCTCTTTGTAACTTAAAACATAGTACAAACATCAAAATTTGACCATATCAAGAGCTTTTATTAATCAAAAAGGTGATTATTTGATGTATAACAATGATACATCATGTAAACATTCAAGGTTGCCCCGCATACCCATGACACTGGTTTCCATAGTAACCATGACTTTGTCAAAACTTAATTGATCGTAAGGAAATTTTTATAAAATAATGTCAGATATATGGTCCTAATGTTGTGAAAGTTTCATGGAGAAATGGGAAAGATAACAAAAGTTACAGCAAAATTAGCAATACTTATTGAACGCCCTGATCATTATTACATATTGTAGAATGAGGTACAAGTATCTGGCCTTGGTGAAAGAATGATGCATTCATTTTATGCGAAATTGTTTAAAATCGCATCAAAATAATTTATTTACAGTATGTATTTGAAATCACAGATGGAAATACATCACAGATTCATAAAACATACTGAGATATGGGTACTGATACATTTCACGAAAATGATGCAAAACCTCTCCATTAAAATATTTTTCCTGCAACAAATGTCATGATGCATGATGAAATTACTTCTTTGGTTATTGTGGTTATCTGCGGTCATCAAATCTCAAAAATCTTTACAAAGTGTTATTCAAAGGACGATTCTCGGTTTGGAGAACAAAGTTTATCAATCTAAATGAGCATTATCCCTGCTTCGGAAAATTTTGATTTTTTTACATAATATAAATTTGAATATCTTCTTTTGAATAGTCATAATTTAATTTGGGTAATATTTCTAGATTTTTCGCAAAAAAATATTAGCGCAGTACACTGATGAACTTCTTTCCCCAAATCGAGACTTGTATTTTATTGAATCAGTCTGGAGCGTATTTTTACATCTTGTAGATTTAAATGTCCTCTTTTGAATATTCATAGTTTAATTTGGGTAATATTTCTATATTTTTCATGAAAAAAATCATTAGCCCAGGAGACTGTTCTCCAAACCGAGAATCGTCCTTTGCCTGTATATATAGGGTATGTTTAGGGCTGCAACGGCTGCATCAGTGTAATCATGGCAGTCATGTTATGAATCACTGGGGGATCCAGAAGCTAAAAAAGGGGACCTAACTTTGAGTCATCCAAAAATATTTTGGACCCTGAAACCAAAACTTGGGCCCAAATTTTGAAAATTGAAGCTCCTTTTTTGATAATTTGTCCTATAAAAGGCCTACAAAGGCCAAATTATGTCCAAAAACGTTTATTTTTTAGGCCCTACTACATTCTTGGGTCCAAATATTTTGGGGTCCTTAAAATCTTTTTCTGGGCCTACAAAAGCCCCCCCCCCTGGATCTTCCAGTGTGAATTGAAATACAGTTCAATCATAAATAGAGTGACCAGCTTTATAATTGATCCTCTAAATTGAATTTAAATGCCTGAACACGTTACTTTAATACCATTTTGTCATACAAGCATTCAACTGCAATGTGTATTCTAAACACTATTTTGTTATGGATACAATCATTCAGCAGCAATGTGTATTCTTAACACTATTTTGTTATGGATACAATCATTCAGCAGCAATGTGTATTCTTAACACTATTTTGTTATGGATACAATCATTCAGCAGCAATGTGTATTCTAAACACTATTTTGTTATGGATACAATCATTCAGCAGCAATGTGTATTCTAAACACTATTTTGTTATGGATACAATCATTCAGCAGCAATGTGTATTCTAAACACTATTTTGTTATGGATACAATCATTCAGCAGCAATGTGTATTCTAAACACTATTTTGTTATGGATACAATCATTCAGCAGCAATGTGTATTCTAAACACTATTTTGTTATGGATACAATCATTCAGCAGCAATGTGTATTCTTAACACATCAGAATCTCAAAATTGTCTTGAAACAAAGTACAGATAAGTGTAATACAATAGTGTGTCATACAATCATAATAATATTGTAAATTGATGCACAATGAATTTTGAGCAATACTGTAATTAACATGAGTCTTCGTAATTTGTTGTTTTTCAAATTTCAGATTAATCTGAAAGGACCCTGCAATTTATCGCACAATTAATGTTTACTGTCTCATCCCTTAAAGGGATAGGCAATCCAAAATGTATGAAAACAAAAAATGTGTAATAATCATTATCATTATTTATTGTAAAATTATTTAGTTGTTTTGTTCATACTGTTGTCCCATACATGCTCAGATTAAGTATAATGTCCAGTTCTAGTTTAGAAGGCATTTATTTTACAGTATTACAAACGTAGGGAAGCATTCGTATGGAAGTCAATTGAGGACAATAAAGTAAACGAGCTAAAGGATACATTATGCACTAGATTTTTCTTTAAAAATGGACAATCAATATTTTTTATTTCAAAAATCTGAATATTCAGAGATTTATTCGCACAACATAGTAAACTCCGAAGAATGAGCTAAAAAGTCACACGTCAAAGGTAGTGTATTTTTATGTGCTGGCATCATTAAAATAAATGCTTTAAAAATGAAAGGTATGATAATCCCCTAGCTTTATTAAACGCCACATATAATAAATTCTGCTATGTCCGAAACGACCCCACTACCAAACACCCACATAAAACGTGACCTGTCACAAGGTTGATTTGATGTTTTAACAAATTGATGTTTATGTCTCAATAAGACTACTTACTCATTAGTAAAGTGTGATATCTTAAGATTTATGTCGTATCTCAAAGTTAGTTGAGTTGTTATACCTTCAGAGCCTTATAATCTTATTGTTTCACGACAGTGTCTCCTGCAATATACCGATATTTAAAAACCTATTTATAACACCTTTCATTAACCTGATAATCAATAATACGTAGATAGAATATGTACAAATAATACCTTTGTCATCTATATCATATGATTATGAGAACTTTGAATGAGTCACATTTTTATGGGATATCCAATGATTTTAATGAATATCAACTTTATCTCCGAGGTAATATCAATATCAGCGAGTAGATCTATAGATTAAAATGATATTCTGAAAAAATCAAAGGAAGTTCAATATACTCCGGAGTATCCCGTGGCGATATTCTCCATTTATTCATTTTGCCAACATATATCAGATTTATTCTTACCAGTATATTATTATCCATTTAGTAAACTAAGTGTAGGATAATACACCTTAAGAGTCATTTAAATGTGAATTAAAAGTATGGAAAGGAGGGCGAGTTGTTTGTAGAATGAATCGGGGGATTTTTTCATGAATTTCGCTTATGTTTTTCATCCAAAAAACATCAATACACTTTAAAACATTTTGTTTACTTTAAGATTACACCATGTAATCCAAAAATATATTTCTCATTTTCAAAGATAATCCATGGATTAACACCCAGGTATTTTTATTTTTCAATCTTCAGAGGGCTGGGAATCAATGATGCTCAACGCTTTTGAATACGATAAATGCTGTTTTAAATAGGTTTTACGTTTGCCAATAATTTCTCAAATTATGTAAGCTGAATGCATTCCATAATCCCTAGAATATTCTCTTGGAGGAATCCAATGGTAATCCAATGGTAGTTCCAAGCAGATTTTTAGATGGCAGATTAAACTCTTTAAGGTAGTTCTGCATGTTGATAATTTTTACTAATTTTGGTGATGAATAAATTATCTGATAATTATGAATTGGGCAATATTTTTACATTTTAAGTGGATATATAGAAATATGGTAACATACACCATGGACCATGCATACACATACAATTACAAATGTAAAAATATTGTCCCTTTCATTGATTATCGGTATTTATAATCATGAAAATTTCGTGAAAATATCGAGACATATCTACCTTAAAATCAGATTGGCTTACAAGTACCCTAAGCTATTTTCACATTTTTATTGCAAGAAAATCTTTTTGCAAGGGTTACAAAGGTTGAAATATTGTGCTGGCTCTATTTGGCTGGAGTTTAATATTCAGACCTAGCTATAGGTATTATTACATTTATATGTAAACTAGTATCTTGTTGACCTATATTCAGCACTGTATTGATGAATGGGCCACTTATTAGGGCCAATATTCAATCATAAAGTGTACAGGGGTAGAGATGCCAAACCAAGAAGTCTTTTTGTGTCTGTCAAAATCCATTTGCATCCTACACATCCCAACATATTATCCAAATATGTTATTAATTAATGAAACATAACAGTATAATCTTTGGATTTACAAAGTTGTATGGGATTTCATTAGTGTAAAAGTTGCTTTTGAAGCATTTTTCTATAGCCATTTTGTAGGAAAAAAATGATGGAAAAAATGTATAATCTTTTAATTTGAAGTATGACCTGAATCGATTGCAAACTTTATATTTGCACATCTGATGTGATATACCATTTGTGTCATACTGTGAAATTATTTAATTTGCAATCGATTCAGGTCATAGTGTATTTTAGGTATTTTTGTGAAAATCAATAGAAACCAATGGCCTCTATTGGAATTGATGATATCCACATGTTAAGTCAATGGAGCCCATTCAATGGCAAGTCAATACACCCTTGCTGAACTAAATGACCTCAACCTCAGCCCATGTGGGTCCAAACGCTCAAATATTTTCCACAGTATTATGTGACATTGTATTCTTAATGTTACACCTAAAAATGATTCATTTTGTTCATGGGGATATCATAATGGAAAGTGCACTAGACCCTTATTGTAATTGTATGATATCGTATTTGTGATTTGAATATGCACTGTGATATTTGAGAAAAAGAATGTTTTGTTTTAGTTTCATTGCAATTTATAACCCTAATATCTTAAAGCCAGAATCCGTCCTTGTCTTCCAATTT